TAATAATTCATCTAGTCCCGTCTTCCTATAATTATGCGTAGCGTTTATTCACGTTTCGACCGAACACAATTAATAGTAAAAACATTATTTATTGTAAGAGGAAAGTACATTAAATTAAAGAGTATTAAGTTAATCTCATGGTTGAAAATTGATTCTCCGTCTTGAATGTATCTTTGTAATGAAATACTCTTTTGTATGTTATTGTAGCGTATTTGTATGTATTTAAATATTTAATGTGATATTTACGATGCGTTATACCGATGTATTTAATAACGCCTGTGTAGCTTTATTTTTTATTTTAAATTTCGTTTAGTAATGGCATTATTAATAAAAAACAATGAAGAAATGTTTTACGTTGCACTTAATATCACAATTATGTTCTTAGTCTTGGATGCATAGTGTTGTGTACAATATATTGTTTAGAAGTTAGAACGCACAACGAGATCAGCTAGTGAAACGTATTATGCTCTGTCCTTCAGTAAAATATCAATCATTCTCTTACTATTCATTTATATGATACTGTATGCTAAATTCGTAATGTAAATATATTTTAAAGTATTGAGACTGATGTGCGAAGTTATTTCTTTATTAAATTAAAAAGTATCAAATCTATCACACGGTGCATATATTAAACACGTTATATATCTAGCTATAAATATTATTTTTTATTAAAATCTGTTCTTAAACAAGGCTTTATATATGAAGTTCGTATAATTTGGGGCCACACAATCAATACGGGGTCAATAAAGCAAGAATAAACTTCACAAAAATGTTGTGACATTTTGTATGGCCCCTTTTTTTAACGATAGTGCCAGTAAAGTGATATTAGGACTCTATTTTTTAGCACGGATTAATGAATCTACACATATTGAAAAGTAGCGTAATTTGCAATGTGTTAGTAATGAGTAATATTCCATTTTGTTCCAGCCTCCTTTCCCATAGTGTTATTGGATAATTATTATGTGGCTATTTCATAATTTTAGAGATGAGTTTGTCTGTGAATGAGTTTGGCCTGCTTAATATTTTGTGTAACGTGCACACGATTTGTATTTTTGTATGTAATCAATAAATTTATGTATGAAGCTTCTATACAATCTATTCTGTTTTAATAGACAAACAATTAGCATTTATAGCCATACTAGAATGAAAGATTACATACAATATACAGTTTTGTTATGTAATTAAAATCGCAGCATATACCTGCTATCCAATTAATGTAAATAGTGATTTTTACGGTTTTATTTACAGGTTATTTTATTTTTTATTATTTACGAAAGTGTATAGTTTGATTAAGTTTTGAGTTTTAAATAAAACAATAATTTGTACCTCTGGCTGCTTTTATTTGCCGGTGCATTTTGAAGGTGTTTGGGTTTTTTGAATAAATACATATTTACAGACTATGCTGTCGTGAATTTTACAGTAAATTGAACTTGGCAAACTCAGTCGAAGCCAATGCATTATGGTTGGATAAAAATCCTTTTGCAATGGAAATTGAATAATTTAATCCATAGGATTTTAAATGGATAACAAGGTCATCCACAACACAATTCCTTTTTCTTTAGATTGAAAGATTTTGATTCAGATCTCAAAGTTGAATACTTAGGTTATTTTTAAGACCTAGGTAGCTTATTGGTCGTTCAAAATATGTATTATGTTATGTGGAGAAGCTTTCCCTCAAAACTGCCCGTGGCCTATCTAATACTTCCAACTTAAGCATAAGCATATAAGTTTGTTGTATTCAAATCAAATATGGAATACATGTTAACCTCTTATAATTTCATAAACTTAAAAGTTATGAATGTGACACATGATATTTTGTTCCGAAATTATAGTCAGTATTCTTCTGTAACAGCCTTTGCAGAGGATGCGCTAGTAACTTTGCAATACACTCGTGAATCTTTGCAGCATTTCTTGATACTTCAAATACATAAGAATAACCATTATCTAAATCCTGTAGAGTGTCATAAATTTCTTCACATTTAAAGAGATTACATTCTTCCTCATGTGCAAAGAGAAGGTCAATGTAAAAATACATTTGCATTTTTAAGAAGTTTAAATAAGGATCTTCTTGAAGTATAAGTGGCACACAATTTGATCGCGAATACAAAACAATCATCCTAACAACATATGGCGGTGGAATCATGCATTGTGTTTGTTTGTATTCTGGAATTTCTACTTCCCTTTTTATTATGTCAAAAACATGTTTAAAATCAAAGTTATCTGATTCACATTCTTCTATATGAACATAATCTATTGTGTTTATAATATCTTTGACATTATTGGTAAAAGTATGAGCTAAATATGCATCTGTTTCTTTTAGTAACACCAATGCAAACTGTGTCTCTTTGTTTATTGCATGTTTAGAATGTATAAAGAAGTCAAGCACACGTTTTAACATATTAATAGGTGAGAATGTAGTCCCATCGCCGAGACGATACATTGAATTTTGATTATCACAGCACACATCAAGACAAATTATAATTCTTTCTGGCACGTTAACATTGGGTAAATTTGGCTTTTGAAAATTTACAATGGCTTGCTCGCGAAGGGTCCCATATTCTTCAGTAATTTTGGGTGGTGTTTCACTAGAAATAAAAAAACATTATCAATATTGTTATTACAACACTAGTAGAAAATTATAAAAATTTAATTACTTTGAATCCTTTGTCTCGCCAACATTACTTTCATTCGATGTATCAGTTGCTTGCATAGCTTAATTTTTTCTTGATTATTAGAACAACTCAGTTTTTCTTAATTATTGTATTGTAACTTGGAATTATGACAGTGTTCGTAATTCGATATAAACGAAACGAATCTCAAATCTTTTTTTAAATATATCTTATGGCCTGGTAAAGAGATCTTTAGGCCAAGTCTTATTTTCACTTCACACTTTTTTTCTTATAGTGTAATCTCACTGATTCATCCGTCCATAGACAATATACAGACAGCCAACCTGTGTCATAAAGCTAGCTTTAAAGTAAAATGACATGCTATTCTGATGTCTACTAATATTTTTGACATGTTTTTGCACTGATATATTATTTAAAAATCGAAAATAAATTGAAAAAAAATTCGACTCGGGCAGGACCGACTACAGAGCTACAGACTCGGTACCTCTACGCTGGCGAAGCAGGTTCAAGATCTGCCCTAGTCGATATTTCTTTTTAAACTCAAATGCTATTCTGATTTTAAGGGCAGAGTTCCATTTGTATGAGTCACGTGACGTGATGCAACAGAACAATATCGGCCAAATACTGTATTAAAATAAAACTTTACAGTTTTAATGCTCGTATCTGCTTCTTTTGTAGTCTTGAGTCGAAGAATGGCTATAGCGACGTCACAATGCTTTTATCCAATGTATTCGTACTAATGTACGACAATTTAAATTCAAAATTACCTATATTTCATAGTTTTTTGACGTAATTTATTCGACAGTGTAAATCGCTTTTTAAACTCTTTATTGACTAGATCCAATATTCTATCTTTTCTCTTTCATTTTTTGTTAAAAAAAACAACATAAAAAAGGTTATAAGTTGAATATTCTCATTTTAGATAACTGCTAAAGGTAGGTAATCACCTGAACGTTTCATATACATACGTGCACTAGTCATCACGTCAGTAAGTTTTGTCTATGTTACTTATTTTCAAATTTCCTTTTCCAGTGCGAGGCCGTCATATTTTAATAAATTTAACTTGTATGTTGTATGTAGCATTAAAAAATGTTAAAAGTAAAATGTTTTGTATGTAGCATTAACCATGTATATGGTGATTTCGCGTCCATCTTGCGGATTTTCCCTTAAAATAAGTAAACTAACACACCAGTTAAACGAAGACTCATCACCGCTAAGACGTTAATGTATGTTATGTCCATTTGTGTGTGCTTCGTAAGTCTTGGTTGTTCAGAAAGAATTTCGATAGGACTTTATAGAAATTTGTTGGACCCGGTGAGTATCAACAACTCGTTTGTAAATAAAGTTAAATAAAACACGAAATGTGCAGTAAAACTATACATTTATAAAAGTAATCAACTCTGAAATGCTACCTCAAACATTGACTTTGAAATCTTACTTTCAGGAAGATTAACTTTAAAAACAAGTTTTCTTACGAAAAAACTTAAACATGTATATAAAAAAATTTTTTTTGTACACTTTGTACTCTTTTATTCGTATCTTAGCAAAAAAAAACAATCATGTCTTCTCTCTATCTATCATTAAGGTAATACAAAAATATACTTTAAACTGCGTATCACAGGTCGATTATCCTAGGAAATGGAGCAAATATAGCAAATATGGCATCAGTTTTCTGACTAAGAGTAAGTACTAAAAAAGTAGCCACGAGATTCTAATATAATATTTGGCGAATGCCTTTGTTGTACTTAACGCTAAAAGAAAATAAAGGAAAAACACAAATAATACGAAATTTAAATCTAGAGTATACGTGTTATTTTTCCAATCTTTAAATTTGTAACGAACTTATTAAGAATTAAATCATCCTGCCATTTACCGTGGATTCTGAATCTCTGTTTAATTTACAGTAGACAGGAAAAATAACGTATGTATTAGAGGTGGGTTCTCTTAAATCTACCATAAGACTTATTTTAGACCTAGAATACCATTTGTCTTACAGCATTTATCGTTAAGCTTCTGTTAATGGAATCTAGGTATAGTATGCTCAACCTTACAAAACCTTACAAATTCGTATTTAAAAAATCTCACGTTTTTGTATAACCTTGTGTAAGCAACAAGTATACATAGTCATGGAATTTTCGTTTATAAGTGTTAGAACCGAACAATTCAACACTATCACTAAATTAACCTTTAAACATCAACGTCAACACAATTCTAAATCACGCATCAACAATGTAAACAAAAAATCACAATGAGGTAATAAATGCTTGATCATTACAAGGTATTAAGTCCCAAACCTCTGCGATATTCGCAAATGTTTGATTTTTGAATTGGAGCATCTTGCTTCAATTCAAAAATGAAACATAGATGAACTTAGATGAAGTACAAAGTTTCGTTGAGCGAGTAATGGGGCTGGCCGTGTAGACTGTTCGCCGTAAGGAAGGCTAGTTTGTGAGCGTATTGGCACACGGAAGGCACTCGCACTTGAGACGAACAGTTAAAGTACATGTGGGTGAGCTTGTAAGTCAGACGTTGGATCTGAAACAATAAGAACCGATATTTGAGGGTATTTGAATAGTTTAAAACAAGCTCGATTTAGTTATAATGTACTCACTTGGTCTGGTAGAAGTCCCGTCGAGTCGACGATAATGTTATATGAAGTGGGAGCGATGGTCCCCTCGCGAACATTTTGGGATACCAAGAAAAAGTCGTACCTGCAAAATACAAGTGGCACTGTAAAGTACAATATACAAATACCGCAAAACTACATGTCTCGTTGCGGTGCACACTCGAGTAGCTATATATTATATCACATTTGATCTATACCACTTTCACCAACAATAACTAACAGAAAATTTACCTTTCGGGCAAAGTCACCACGTCATCGATGATGGTACCGGGTCGAGGATTATCACCAGAACGACCGCGATTCACGAAAACACGCGTGTTAATGCGCTTAGACACAATAATAAATGCGAACTTGAAGTCGGCTGTGCCATATATTTCGGCCAAGGTCCTTTTCATCTCGGTCACCTTAAAAGCCACGAAACGAATTAAAAGTATTAATTGGTCCAAGAAACGACATGGTACCATGGACAAACCACTTTATAAGTAGACAAAAATAACACAGGATTTTATTTACCTCATGACTGTAAACATACGGAATTTGTCCATCACCAACACCATCGCGGTACATCATTATCATTCCAGGTAAAACACCTACACACAATAAAAAATAATTATGTTAATTAAAAATCGATTATCAATTGAAAAAATTTACGACTCGGTAGCCTGAACTGCCTGAGTCGTTTTTTTAATGTATAATCGAGTTTTAATTATGTTGCTGTTAACAGAATAGACATTGTTGACACAGCATACAAGACAATACACTCTTGCATCTTCTCATCTTATTTGGACTCGACAGTAAACAGCTTATTGAAAGTGTAATTGTGATATTTAATTTTGTTTTTCAGTACCTTTGCATCAAATGCATTCGTGCCTTGCAGCAGTATGTCTTGTGTTTATTTGATTTTATTTATTTGATAATCTTATAATGAAACTCACCGTTTCTCTCGCGGTACTTCTTCACAGCAGACGCAATGTTGAAACTCATATGAGCAGAGAGCTCCTCACCGGACGTATGTGCGTTCACAGCCGAATAATACTGGGTCATCTGCCTGTCGAGGGTAGCTACGAATGCGCCGAAAGATTTCTCCTTCGACCGCGTGTCGTGGCACACGTCGTAACCCGCCACCATTAAAGTGGGCAGTGGAATCATTACAGTCCATGGTGCACCGCCAAGCTGTAACATGTCATTACGAATGTTAGAACAATGCAGGAAAATGAGCTTTAATTACCAATATTTTTCTTTACATGTTGTTATAGTTGATATCATAAAGATGACTGAATTATGAATTAGGCTAAACCGTCTCAGGCCGCTTTTCTTAGATCCTATTAGTTTGTTTTCAATACTACCATTCACATCTAAAAGTATTATTGCATTTGATGTTTGATGATACAATATTTTGTAATAACTAGTAACGCGATGCAATATCTTCACTTTCCTATGCCAACATTGACGTGTGAAAGAGAAAACAATAGATTTCTATAATAAGCAACGTGACGATGTATCGTTTGTCTCTACGGCGTCTATAGGAGAGATAAGATTGCTTCACAATTGATCTATTTAGATGGTGATAGAAGTGAAACTATGCACGTGAATGATTTGGACAAACCTTGCAATTCATTTGTATTGCGACTTTAGTAGCAATGGACATAGCAGACTTGGACGTCATATTCCTCGCGCACACGACTTGAGAAGGCACCGCGCGGTCTATTGTGCATTTCTTCTTTATCGCCTCATATCTACAAAACACACACATTTTATACTTTATGTCCAAGTCCACCTAACAAAGTCCCTTGCAAAAAAGTTTTCCATAATGTTTAGATGTTAGACATGGTTTGGGAGATTAGAAGAAAACGCATTAGTAATTATAATGTGTAGGTAGTCCCTGTTATTATTAAGCAACACTTACTTGTCACTTGCGTTTCTGGCCAATACAATGAGGATCATTGCAGGGTTCTTTCGGGCGATTATATTCTCACACATGTTGGCGTAGTCTCCTTGCCCGTCCCTTTCAATAGTTACTGAAACAAATATAACTCATTTAGTGTATGTTGAATCTCAAATCTCGTTCTAAGCGCCATATAGCCATCTACACAGGTTCTGTGAACCTTCCACAGACTGATTTTATTAACAGGCAGTTAATCAGGCTTCTGTACCCTGACCTACCAGGATTTGAACCCAGGAGCTCTTGTGATTTATCCAATCCAGACGTCAAATACGACTTTTATATTAATTTGATATATAACAAACATATCAAAGTAAATATATCTTAATAGCTTAACATACCTATTTCAGGTCTCGGAAGCCTGAAGCCACAACCAGCGCCGGTCTTCATAATTAGTTCCACAAATCCACCTGCGTCTTTTTGTTGACGAACCGGTGTCAAAACTACCCACGACGGTATTTGTGCTACTGTCAGAAGCTGTTTGGACCTGTTTAAAAACTCAATGAAGATTAGAAAAACTTACTAATCCATATGTAATACTTTTAATATGTAGATTTAGTTAATTGTAAATCTTCTGGGCAAATTATAGACACTTGCCTCATATCTCGGGTCCATCCTTCGGTTGTATCTCCCGCTGGGTACTTAGCGTTGTTGCCTTGAACTATATTTTCCGGTGGTAATTGTCTTCCCTTGAAACGCACTAAATCATTGGACAGTTTCAACGACCATGACCCCAGTTCCTAAAAGAAAGTAACTTAAGAATTTAAATTTATTGTAAGAACTTCTATCAACTTTGTTGATAGTTATTTGTAAAAACGTGTAGACTAACTAGATTTGATAGATCGTTGTTTGAATATATTATCACTAATTAATATTAGAAAAACTACATATAGGAAAAACTTACCGCAACAATCTCTTTAGTTTGCGTGAGACGGCGATTGAATTGCAGTAATTTCTGAATACGCTGTTCGGGACCAATCTTCGTGTGGGTACCCATAGACCTCATGAGTTGGAAGTTGGCTCTCATCTCATCGGAAAGTCCCGTCTGCCGGCACAGCTCAGGGACGAGATAAACCAGCTCGGGCATGCCCGCGCGAATGTCTCGCGGCTTAGAACGAGATATGAGCAAGGGTTGGCTCATATCGTGTATCCGTATATTATATTTCTGTATAGTAAACGCACTTTAGACTATGATCTAATCGTATATGTGTGCATTAAATGCAATGGAGTTAAGCATATGGGTTCGATGCAGGGCATTAACGCAACTTGAAATCAACACAACCAATACTAGATTGTTTGGTTTGTATGTTACATTCCTGCATCGGATCTTCGACACAGAAGTACATTTCAAACATAATTAATTTGTTTATTTTTAAACTATTTATCTAATAAATATGTAAATTAACGAGTTGCATATGATTTAAACTTCATAAGAATATGAAATAATTTCCTAATATAGTACTAAACACACACCTTCTGATAATATTCGATATAGCTTATTGTTTCTTCCTTCATTCGGAAAGTAGATTTTGGAGTTTCATTCCAAGCCACATCGTCCACTCTGTATGTTTTTTTATTGTAGTCAGTCATAACTATTTGACCTATTACAGAGGACAATTGTACAAAATTTTGTAATATTGCAAATGTTATGTTTTAAAACCTTTTTTTTTAATTAAAGGTAAATAAAAAGATATTCAGAACCATATAAAGCAATAGTCTCAGACTTACCACTGACATCTTCTACAAATATTTTTTTAAAGTTACTGCCTTTCGTCATACTGTATTCATGTAGCATTTGCAAGACTGTGTCCATTCTCAGTACCTGGTTAATAGCAAAAATGTGTTAAAGTTGACTGTTCAAAGTATTATTTAAATGATCTATTTGAAATAATACCTATCAAATCTTACCTTGTGTGTTTGTATAGGGAAATGGGTGAAGTGGTTGGCGGACAACGTGGACCACCCATCCTGCCATGGGTGTCCCCGATAGAAAATAATAATATAATAATACCTTGTGTGTTATTTCTGTGACCATCAGAAGTCTGTCTTCATACTGATTTATAGTTGTTTTGTATCCTGGCCAAATTTGCAACTTATACTCCGGAATATCAACCTAAGGTGAATAAAAAACTGTGTAAGGTTGTTTTTTATTATTATAACTGCAATATCTTTCTTAGTAAGCCACGTTTGTGGCTCAATGTTTGAAGTTTTGAACATCGACAGATCATCTTTGGGTTAGAAATTTGGGAAGCCATAATAGTACTGCCAGAATAGCCTGACTACTTGTAATGAAGATGTGGAATGTGTAAAAAGTGTGTTTTTATTCCTTATATGAATATTAAAATGTACCTTAGCAACGGGATCAAAGAAGTCTCGTCCCATTAATTGGAGATTAAGTAAGTAGAAACATTTCCTTATGATGATGTTGAATATTTGAATGTAATGATAATCTCCAGGGCTGACAGCACAAATCAACTGCAACAAAAAACAAAATGAATACAACTGTTTCAGGTATTAAAATATGGGTTGCAAAGTTCTTACCTTGATCATTATTCTGACTTTTTCTCCGTCAGATTTTCGTTCCGAGTACAGTTCTAGAGGATTTTCTGATAGGCGATTTACCGTGTACAAAGCGGTACCATCAAATAAGTAACTAAAAACAAATTATACACAATATGTCACTTCTTTCTCTTACATGTTGGTGCGTTTAGATAAAAACGATTATTGGGTATCTGCTACTGTCTTTAAGCATATACCCAATAAATGTAAATTCAACACTGTACATTAGTAGGCAATCCTTCTACATACCCTCCAAATGTCTTTGCATGAATACGTAAAAGTGATTTTCGCACTCCAGTGTGGTCCTCTTCTGGAGAAAATTCTACATGGTATTGGTAGAGACACCACTGCGGAGTTGTTTCAACAGTGAAGTAGTTGGCGCATAGATCTAACTGGTCACCGGTAGTACCTAAGTAATGTTAATAGAAACATTTTAATATTGAATATCAAACAAAAATATATTAAAATGGAAAGAGACATTCAAATTAAGAAGCAATATCATGGTTCAAAAAGTGATTTATTTGTGATTATACAAAGCTGTGTATATATATCCCCTCCTGCAGATGAAGAGAGGATTTTAGAACGAGAAATCTTTTACACAAATATTGGTCCTGAACATGCATGTGGAAACCCTTAGTTCCACTTTAGACCCATTAATACCTAAATCAGATATAATGAGGGATACATTTTAATTTACATTCAATTACTTGTACCCGACTATTCCTAATATAAAAAGTGTAGGGTATATCAAAAGATAAACGAATATACTAATTTTGAAGTATAAATGCATTACGATTTTATTTTAGATGCGTTCCAGCATTAGTGTTTAGTTTTGTAACTGAAACCGTGGCAACTGGGCGCGTGTAAAAGTAACTACTTAACGATTTACACACAACAACATTTTATTCAAGCTCATTCTGCTGACTCCAGCTGATATTGCACACAAATATGAAGTTGATATAGTTAGTTGAAGCAATAATTTGTATAATTCTTACTCAACGAAATTTGATATGATGCAAGCTGTGTGTATTATTAACAAACCAGAGAGCATGTAAATTAAAAATTAAAAAAAGAATGCATATATGCTTTTATAATCCAGAGATTTAAATAAAATAAAAATTCATTGCAATATTCAGATTATGTAAAAGATACACAACTTTTTGTCTACCCCCAGAACTTGGAACTTAAGGCAAATCAAATTAATTTGTTTATTTTATTTGTAACACATCTTTTACAATGGCACAATGATTTTAATAAATGTTTTATTCTAAAATGTCTAACTATCTACTGTACAAATTCAATAATAAAACTCAGGGATTGAACATTTTCATCATTATATAGTTATTTATATGAACATCACTTTGTGGGTTCCGAGATAAACAAAATTGATTGTGACCCTATTTTATGTTCAGTGGAGTTTATATTGGATATAAACTGAAAAATATTAACAATCAAATTGCAATTGAAAATTGTATGTGCACTAAATATAGAACTTAATAGTCTATAGTATATCTATGGGGAAACAGGTAAAATGGTCGGCTGATAATGGGGGTTGAACACCCAGCCTACTACAGGTGTCAATGACACATGTAATAATAACAGAATATCAAAAAAAAATTCACTACTTGATGCGTATGTTATAAGACAATATAGCTATATAATAATTATATGTATTTACCTTTTTTCGTAGTCACAGCCTCAGGTCTTGTCCTTAAAATAGTAATTTTTTCAGACAGAACCCTTCCACCTCCACGATGTGAGCCTCGTCCCACTTTAACTCCAGCATCTCCACCACTGCCAGTGGCTGGTTTACCTAATAAATTATTTCAGTAAATAAGATATATATATTTCAAATGGTGAAACACTTTATAAAATAAATGGTTTATTCATTCATTAATGGTATATTATTATTTTAAGAAGACAGTACAGTTATTGAACATACCAATGTCCAAACTCGCCATCTGCTGCTGAACGTCGATATCACCAGGATGCGCATGCGACATCCCAGATGTGCTGCGATGACAAGCTCTGCCAGCAGATTCAGTGGGTTTTGGAATGCCAGCTCTAACTGGGGGTGCAACGGATGGCGGACCCCAGGCAACAGGCGGCTGAGGTCTAGGTGCAGATGGTCCAGCTCGAATTTGTTCCCCTGGACGCCGAGGTTGTGGAGCAGCCCCTTCACCGCCCCGACCTGCACGGCCTGAAGCCCTTCCACGTCCTCGAGACGACATACCTAATTAAAATGTTACAAAATAAGCAATACTATTCGAATTATAACTTTGTAAAGTTCTTAATTCAATATTTCAAAATGGCTGCTCTTGGATCAAGGAAGGTATCAACTTTTGTTAAAATTTTGTTTTAATATATAAGAGAAATCTAATAATTTAATTAAATAAATTAAAACTTGACTTAGAGTCTTTAGACTTGATATAGATAACCATTTATAAAACTTTATAAGTACCCATTAAAAAATATCGCCCAAAGAACAAAACCCAGCTTGACCCTGATCCAGAATTTCCAAAAAAAGTGTTTTTAACAATATAAAATATTTTTGTAAAATTAGTATAAAAGATGGTTATCACTTATTATTAAGAGCATCCAGGGGTATCCATTGATCTAGACATGTGGAAAATTAAGCGTTAAAAAATATTTCAAAAAGTAATTGCCTTATCCGTTAATAAAATTAACGCAAGAAAAAAGATAAACAAACAAAAAAGATAACTTACTACAAATATTTAAGTTTTTTACAAATTATTGAAAACTAACTTTCCTAATTTAGCAATATTATACTATTATTCAATTTTGCATTGCTTGTGGCGTCGTCCACCAACAAATGAATCACAGACAAACTTAAATGAAAAGTAGCAATCTAGATAAATCCACAGATGTCGAAGGTAATTGAAGAAAAAAAACATCTTAAACGCCACAGTCTGTCAATTTTTTTTAAAATAATAATTTCGACACTTCGACGATGACACTCTGTCTTTCTAGTTTCTTTCAGTAGTTCTGCTCTAAGGTTGACAATTGGTTGATAAACTCAACAAAAGCATTATTGCATATTAAATTCAGTACCTATAAAACATTATAAATTTCTAAAGCGGCATCAAACTGTATTAAACCATTTAACTATTTCAACTTAATATGGATTATCAATACGAGCAAACTAGTGAGATAGAGGCATTAGATTCGATTTACTATGGAGATATGCAAAGTAATATATTTATATACCGTATAATTAGATAAATTCCATTGTTTTTAAATTTGTAATATGCTTTTTTAGTGCTACAGAACGAGCCATTTTACAAATTCAGCATACCAATTAAATCTGAGGGCTTTGATGACGGTGATGGCTTAGCTTGTCAGCTGGTGTTCACTTATACCCCCAAATATCCAGAAGAATTACCTGTTGTGGAGATAACCAATGATGAAAACTTTGATGATGTGGTTGATAAGAATGAATTATTAAAACATTTAGCAGAGCAGGTATATTAAGCTTCATTAAAGTATTAATTATTATAAACCTATAGCATAAGCTAATTTAAGGTGGGATTTAAAGTTAAAACAAGGCAGAGAAGTTCTTAAGAGAGTTATATTGTGTCTTCAAGTAAGGTTAAATTATATATTTTATCTCTCCTGCTTACTTTCCTACAAAAAATACAGTTCTTTTATTCAGGCTGTAAATCATTGAGGCAAACTTTATTAATTTGCATGTACTTTGTTTTACAATTATTTATTTTTGATTTAGGGTAAGGAAAATCTTGGAATGGTCATGGTGTTCACCTTAGTCTCAGCTGGACAAGAGTGGTTAAATGAAAAGTGGGACTTCATAAAAAAGCAGAGAGAAGAGCAAATTTTAGCTAAGAAAAAAGCAGATGAAGAAGCTGAACAGGCATGTCACCATTCTTTTGTAGAATAGGAAGAATTAAGCTTTTATTGAGCATCTGAAATTCATAATTCTCTTTGAGGCTTTTCTCTTAGTGGAAAACCTGGGCCACCAAGATAGGCCAAGGTTTGCCATAAACCAAACTCACGGACACATTATAAATATCAGAAAAATATGTATGAAATGCAGAAAGCATAAATTATCAAATTATTTAGATTGAATTTTTATTTGAGGAATGTTTTATCATAATGGATAGTAAAATAGTAGTTCTGTAAATAAAGCATCAGTGGTATGCTGTTAATTTTGTCAGCTCTGTATTTGGATATGAGAGTAATAATGATTTTTATGAATAAAGATTCAATTAATTTAAGTTTTTCTAAGATAACATAAAGTTGAGTCATATCCAGATTATTGGCAGTACTAGTAGCATATGGTACAACACATCTCAATTTAGTTGGGAAATTTATTATTTACAATGCTGGATGTCCGGTATGAGCGTTTGTGGCTTCTTAACATTTATTCCTCTTTTACAGAAAAGGTTTGAAGGGACAAGAGTGACAGTTGAATCATTCTTGGCATGGAGAAAGCAGTTTGAAATGGACATGGGTATTCCAGCAAAACGGGAGAAAGAATTAAAAGACAGAAACAAATTAACAGGCAGGGAACTATTCCTCAGAGATACCACACTTAATGAATCTGACTTGAAATTCCTTGATGATGGTGAGCAGTGATTATGACTAACATTTCCTAACATATGTTGACCCAATGAATGTCACTTGCTAATTCAAGATGATGAGTCTTGGCACTGCCAATTCACAAACAACAATGATGTTGTTCTTGGTTGGCTTTATTCTTATCAGAATTCCCAATAAAATTGAATTACAAAATTTAACAATAGAAAGTCAATATTTTATCCACATTTATATATTTCAGGAGATGCTGTAAAAGTAGATGAATCACTATTCCAAGACTTAGACGACCTAGACATATCAGATGAGGATGATGAAGATTATATTCCTGGTCAGAGTGGAAGTGAGAGTGATTAGTGGAAATATTATAGTGCATGTTTTATATTGAAGTGTTGTTGAAACTTGAACTGTTACTTATTCATAACTCAGAATTTCATAGGGTCATAATTATAGGTGTTTAATTTAAAGACGTCTTTGTTGTTTTATACAAGAACGGTAAATGTGACCTGTCACAGAATTCGAGTTGATTATAATTTAAAAACTATTTGTAATTTTCACATTTTTATTTACACCCCCACCAAATTTTACGAGAAAACACCGAGTAAGTACTATTTATTAAAAAGCATAAAACTTAACATACATTGATATAACAAAAATGCAACTTAACAAATTATTAAGATTACATTAAGGTAGTGTTTTGTCATAATATCCTATTAGTTATATTTACAAAGTGCAGTCTTTCAAAGGAAAAACAAATATTTTGGGAACATTACACTTTTTAACGGATGATATGAAAATAATTTATTAAATAAAATTCATGGATTCACATCAACAACTTATTACACCAACCAATACTAAAATGTGCATTGACGATAAAAAACCTACATTACAAATAAATTCACAACTATTAAAATAGATACTGCAAGCAACAAAAGTCTACCTGGTACAAAACAGAATAATGTACCCTAAAATTAAGATATAAAAATCATCACGCCTTATCAATATAGGTTTAGGAACCGTATATACAAATTTTGATATCTAAATTGATTTGTTTAATTTCATGAATTTGGATCGTATTAAATATATGAAGATAAAAGAAAAATACAAATTGGGATCTCTCGCTTTTACATTCACGTAACTCGTTTTAATTTTTTTTTGCCCTAACAATTATATAAAAACATTATATTAAATATCGTAACAGATTCAATAAAAGCTATAAGAGATAAAATAAGTAGTCTGTGAATGTTTAGAAATACTTAAATTATTATCTGTAAAACAAAAACGGTTATGTATTATTGTTTATGATAAATATTAAATAGATTAGTATTGTCAACGTCAGCACAACACAATATTATAGTTCTAAGTTTCATTTGCATAATTAGTCGCTACCTGTGCCAAACAAAAGCAATGTTAATCCTAATAAGAAAAAAAAATACCATATATTTCTAGGCCCATTATTGCGTGGTCACTTATAACAAACCTAATTTTTTATATATAGTACTGAAAATACCTAATATCTTAATTACAACGATAAACAAGATCTGTATTGCAACATTTTATGTAACAAATTAATGCTTGTCTTTCATGAAACTACACTACATAAACGTATAAAAATATCTTGACTGATAGGAAGATGATGACAATTAAGAGCAATTTTTAAGGAACAACCTCTAATTATCAGAAAATGATGGCCTAGAATTTATCAGTTGACAGAAGCCCTTGGGAAAGCATTTGTCAGTCAAAAGGCGTCGTTGTGCTTGACAGAATTAATCACCTCTTATTTGATACGAATTTAAATTCGGAACGTCTTTGCTGTGATTTAATAACATACATTATTAAATACAATTTACAAATATTATGAAGGGTACACACACGACAACCAAGTCAGGAATAACGTATTCAGAACTAACGGTAAATAAACAAACTACCCACTAAACGCTAATTATTATAATAATAACGAGAACATCAAACGAGCTGTGAATAACATCCAACTTCCTGTTGGTACCTATACCTTTTTAATAGAGTGACACAAAATTATTTTATTTACACAAAATCTGTAACAAAAAATTAAAGCGTGTCTAACTGTTAAAGATTTTATCAATTATCCGAGTCCATTTGCTTGTTAAGATTCACTTTACAATCAATTTTTAACTGAACTAAGTTCAAAGTAGCATTACACAATATGCCATATCGATGGTTTTCAATCGTGGGCACAACTTACGCAGTGTCCATCTAAACCTGATGGTTTAAAATTAATTTAAGCTGAATAAAATGATATTAGTTGTCGTGTTACGCACCACAGCGGTTGTAGAAACCATACGACCTAAGTCGTTTGCTGTAGGTGACGGTTAGCGCTCATTTGAGCCTCTGTGTGACGTTCGCGAGCGCAACCGCGAACGCCTGCAGCGCGGAGAATGGGTACTGGAAGTCCAGAGTGTACGCGTTGCCATCAATGCGTCCGAATTGCATGACCTGTGGGTTCAGATATATAAAAACCGACGAAGTACGTGAGGACACACGCACAAAGCGTTATGTTATGATTACACTATCCCCAAAAATTTGTGTCAGTTTGTTTCGTTAGGCAAGACCAACATCGCACATATCTCATAATTGAATAAAGAATCTGTATAATCTCAGAGAAAATAAATTCTTAAAACCAAATAGTATACCCGCTTAATTTATTCTTATGAAAATAAAACATGAAAACAGATACAAAAAATCTTGTTAACATTAAGTCAAAAATAAATCTAACCTGTTTCCCATGATACTCGATCTGGAAGTTCTTAGCTGATTCCTGTGTGACGCGACCGCCAAAATCCAATTGGTATACTTGACTGTTCTCGTTCCACATAGGTGCTTTGTTGTGCATCACTAGCTGGCGTCGAGCGGAGCGATCACCCGCGCTTATGTTACCACCAGCACGTTTTATCTGAGAAAAAATCTACAGTTTTAATGCAAATAAGTGTTGTTTCGAAGGACATACAAATTAGGCATGAATTAAAATTTAAGATAACGTTAACTGTTGTAATGTACACCTTATAAATTTTGCAACATTTTTACAATGACAACGGCGGTTTGATATTTCGTGGCAAAGAAGAGCAAAGCTAAACCGATATTGATTTGATTTAAAAATAGAAAAAAAAAACTTTATGCAGGGTATAGTTGTGTAACGGATAGAAATACACATAATTTTTAAATTATAGGATAGCTAAACTACCTTATTTCTTAATTGTGCCTTCTGAAAGCTCTCCAAATCTCTGAAGTTTTTACTATTGATTTCGTTATAACCGTTGGGAAATTCATCATCTGAACTCTCTGACAATTTCTTGTTCCTTCTGCGATTCAGCAAAGGCGAATTGAGTAGTTGTCTGCAAGTAAAACAAAGTAACATAAATTAGTGGATATATAGAAAAATCAATTGAAATATATTGTTATATAAAATTTAGACAATTAAGTAGGTACCGTTACATCATACTCGTTTGATTAAAAATAAAGACGTCGTCCTTCGTCATATAAAAATCTATACGTTGCGTCGCAGTAAACTAAGCCGAGAACTTGGCTTATTAAGACTACTATGAGGGTAATCGTAAAAATCCTCTTCTTATGAAAGAAGACGCGTCTGCCGAGCAGTGTAATATGTCGTACCTAAGATGTGGGTTTTACCTAATTGGCGATGCAGAGGAATATCTATGCTTTCTTTGTCTTGGTGCAGGTGATCCAGCTGAGGCAGGGACTGCAGAAGCAGTTGACCGCGCCGGTCGAGGCGACGCGGGCGCAGAACTGCTCTCGCGAACAATATTAGAACTAGCACTACGCGTACCACCGCGCGATGCTAGCAGTCGCAACGCCAGCTGCTCTAAGGAACCTGTGGATAACAAAAATATGTATCTACAAATATATAAGAACTATTACAAGAACACAATTTGTTTTCTTTTAAATAATTGTGCTTTAAAATCTTATCGATCGTAGACAGGATAAATTTTGGTACAAATTAAACCTATATTCTACAAGCCAAGTGATCTGTTCGTTTGGTTTGCTGGTGCTTAGCCCTAACATGCTAATGGCATGACTTTCAAACTGTCTATAACTTTGCAGAAAACTCTACGGCAATACCTAATTTTTTCTAGATCGTGAAAAACCTATTTCGTAATGTTCCAGTGATAAGTGCACGAACGCTCTTAATATATGCTGTATTACTATTTTTAAGCATGACGGCTCAATTGTCAAAGCGTTACTAATAACGTGCTATACTAGCTGGCGGTTTAGTCGGAGACCGCATCTCCCCCGTTGAAGTATTCGCGGGTGAGAAAAGCATCTACTACTAACTATAATACTTGCTGTAGTCGGAGTCGGAGTCTGTTAGTTGCGGTTGCGGTGGTGGAACTGGTGGCGCAGACCTCGAACTACACGCCACACAGACATACGTCTCGGTGTCCACGTCGCGTTTGTCGTACGGAGACACCAAGCGGCACACCGTACACACTGGATAGTCTCTGCGCAATCGTCTGACTGCCCTACCACTCTCCTCTGTACTCGTACCACTATTATCTTCCCCTGTACTATTACACCGACTACTGGAATTAACTGAAACGTTATCCATTTTAGTATTTAACTCTGACTTTAACTGTTTTTTCCCCTTATCGGCGGTGATAGATAGTTCACTTGAATCTAAGCTTCGCGATTTTCCACATTTCTTTAAAGGCATTCTTGTAGCTTCGACGGTTTTCATATCGTTTTTAAAATATTTTTTTGGCCGTTTTTGGCGCTTGTTATTAACTAGAACCAGTCGTCGTTGAGGTTCGCCGCGTAAAGCGGATAGGCTTACTTGCGCGTGAAGAACCTGTGGGTCAACTAGATCTAAATAGCCAACACTACAGCTTCGCGTCATCGTGTCGTACATAGGAACGTTTGCACAAACAGGACTTATGGGAACTACTGTAGTCGTTCTTTGAACTCTTCTCTCTACTTCTCGTGGCTTTTCCGTTATATTTGTAATGGTTGTTTCAACGGGCGTCTCCTCGTCTATGTATTTGAGATCCTCGCCTTTTTGTAAATTTTTCAAAACTTCATTTCTCTTGCTTAATGCATCAGGATGTACTTCGTGTTCGTAGTTTTTATTGCATAATGACTTTAATATTCTAGTATCGTACGAAGCTGATTCTCCCCTATTGCATATATTCTTACGGATTTTTGACAAACAATTATCAGTTACGTGACTATCACATTTCTTAATAGTGACTTGGCGACTAGGTTCTAAACTTAGATTTAAATTAAAATTTTGATGTTCGCTATTGGAAATATTTCCTTTGAGAGATACGCTATCACCTCTGACGCTATAGTCAGTTCTTCCTCCATAGAAATCACCTCTGCCTCCACACGTGACAGCCTGTGGCGAAGGCCTTTCAAAAATTATGTCAGTTGGAGCGACCGCGTTCTTCGGCGATTGTAAAGTAGGAACCGAGCCTTCACATCGGAGAGGAGATATAGCGTGTCTATTTGGTCCACTGGTAGTTGTGTTGACTCTTCTTTCTGTAGCTTGTGGCGCATGCCGTATGGGCGTAGAATAAACGTTCTCTGGTATATTGTTCATAGCGTCACTCGTATCTATAAAAGGAAAACCTTCGTAAGATTCCGCTCTAGCTATCGTTGCATTCGTGGTATTATTGTTTGAAGTGTCAGCTTGATTGATATTGTTTGGATTTCCTATCCTTTCATTAAGAATAGAGGGGTTGAACTTTCTCCTAATGTTATTATTTGAATGCGTGGGTGAATTATTGTCACTAGATTGGAATACATCTTCTTCGTCTTCAGAGAAAATATTAGGGTTAAAATTGGGATCAGGTCCAACGGGATAATCGTCCCTCAATTCCGTAATTGTTAACGTCATTTGCCTTGGTTGTAGATGTAAAAGGGATGTTTTATAAGTAACTTGTCCGAGATTTGCTGGTACGTTTTTTGCTAAGCCGTGCATTTTGAACTTCGTGCCCCAAATATTTGATGTTACTTCCACTAATCTAACATCCTGAAATAAAATAATAGAATTTGTACTATTTTTCGGATTTCGACTTGTTTTACAAAAAGAACAGTTTCTGTTACCTCCGGTAGAGAATCGATATATGCTAGTTCATCAGGAGTGTCATCTCTGTCACTGGAATTTCTAGACTTGCGCCTATCTCTGGCGCGTCGCCGTCGTTGCAGGCGCGGTGACCCTGAACACCCTGCTATTACGATATATCTACATCAGTATGTTAGAAAATGAGTAACATTATAAACAAAGATACGGCGACGTGTTGTTGAAAATCATTATGATTATACCGATACAAAATCCATTTGACATCACTTATTATTTTTTTAAGACGTGACATTTACTTTTGGATCTTTAATACATACTTTAAAGCTTTGCTAGATAAACAATTTTACACGCGAACATACCGTCTTCTCGTTCGGTGTCCGATGAACAGGAATCGTCTTGTGTAGTCCGCGAACGACGGTTAATGCGAGGTGTATGTGGAGCGCGAGGTGAAGATATTCCTCGGCAACTACCCGCGCTACCACCGCTGCTAGACGAACTGCCAGCACTACTACTGCTCGATTCTCTAGTAACTGGTGCTATAGCGCTTTCTGTTGTACAACATTAACATTTTACAGGTTGCAGAGATGGAATAAAATTTTAATATATCTTATTTGCAAATGAATTGTTAAAAAACACATAAAATCTATTGATGTGTAATTAATAATTATGAGTAAACTACTACATCAATAACTACTTAATATATCATAGACATGGAATAGTACCTTCAGCTTGCGGGTCGAAAATGACGAACTCTGGTCTGATCTTACTCGTCCGGCGACCCTTCAGTAAAGGCACAAGCCCTCCTAGGTGTTCTAAATACAGGGTATAAGCCCCAGCCTCTTCATCGTCGTGTCGTAACATAGTACAATGGAGACGCCCTCCGGCCGCGGGGGGCCGCGATACAAAACGTCGCAACTCACTTGTTTCCGGTACGTTACACTGAAAATAAAAGAGCAAGTAAAAACGTTAACTATGATGAGTATATTAGATGGAATTTTATATATTTTTAGAAATACAACTCAATGATTAATTGTTTCATTATTGAAAGTTTATGTATTTCCGTAAGCAGTAAGTACCTATCGGGGATATAACGGAGGTAGTTTTATGGGAATCGAAGCCGGAGTCGGAGTTTTTGAATTTGTTTATTCGGAGTCGGAACCGGAGTCGGAGTCGGAGGCAAGGTTAGAAGTGGTGGCATGAGACATAATTTTTATTTAAGGACAAATAAATTATTAATAAGTCATTATTTTTTATTTCAATCAAATCATGTTTGCTGGCTACTGAGCCTGGTGGACACGACTAAAATTACACGTAAAAAGTGCATGTAGTGGAAGTCAGGGGGAATCCCCGCGCAACATGTATGAACCCGTTCATAACAGTCGCCATACGCTTCGACCTCCGATTAAAACCCTCGAGTTAAAAGAGACGGAACCGCAGGTGTAATAATTATCGGAAGTTCCGACTTAACGGAACCGGAGGCGAAGCTTCGTAACATCCCTGGTACCTATTACTACTTATACTTTATGGTGTATAATAATTTGTACTGTCATTCAAGCATGCGATAGCTTTGAACATTATACACTTAAAAATAAAGTATTCAAGACAAAAACTACATTTTAGAAAAAATATTTAAATGAAGATAAAATTTACGAAAAATCATTGTTTCAACATATTATTTTACTTACATGATAGCTATTTATGGCTTGAGCTGCACAACGACCCCCTGCTTTTGATCTTATCAATTGAGCTACCACGTAAGAACAATCGAAAATAGGTTTTTAATTAAAATGTACATACCCGTATTGTATGTGCAAAAAGACTCGCTAAAGCAGGCTGCAACCTTGGCGGCAGCGGCAGTCGGGCAGCAAGTCTAGGATGCCGAAGTGCAGCCGCTGCTCGTACTCGAGCAAGCAACTGTAGTGGGGCAACTACGCGCCATACGCGAGCTGTGCACACTGCACCACCCACGCTGACGAATAACCTCCTAGCTGCATGTCCCCAAGTCAATGCTGTTACGCGGGCCTAAAGGATCATCAACCCCTTATTAAAAACGTAACCCAAATTGTTCATTTCCTCACGAAAGTGGTCATAATCAGTCAAAAAATATGAAGTTCACCGTAATTACGTATTTTCTATTAAAATAAATAGATAAATAATTAAAACTTAATTTAAATGCTTACAAGGCGAATATGTTTAGTTAAATATTTAATAATTACAGCCTGGTGTTTCGGATAACTTGCAGCAACTTGAGAAGTATTTTAAACATCATTCATTCATTAAGAATCTTATATAATAATCGTTTATAAATATAATATAATTATAATCAATTACCTGCGTGTTTGGAATGGGAACGGTATAAATAAGAGTTCCAGTATCCGAATAGAATTTCACCACATTCTTGTAAGGTGGACTATCTTCAGGCTCGCCGTTTTCTGTAATAAAAGTAGTCAGTATTGCTAATTAAATAAATAAATGACATACGTCAAATTCATATGTGAGATCTTGTACAATTTTATCTCAGACAATTAAACGCAGAACGAAAACAAATTAATCGTAACTCTGACAGAGCAGAGGAAGGGCAAACGAAGAACGATGTATCTAGTAATTCGTGGGGAATTGCTATAGAAAAAAAATTAACAAAAAAAATACGCAACAGGGTTCAAGAGGGAATAAATATATACATTTCCTATAATAAAACATAAGTATTCTTAAAAATGCGCCTTCTTGACATTATCTGTGGTAAGGCTACGAACTATTAATTGTTCCTAATTAAAAATAATACATACCAGGTATTAAGGTGCCAGCAACAGCGAGGAGTTCTCTTGAATTAGCCCATTCCATAGCCAACGTTGTTCCTCTCAAGCCAGTGCCAATCCGTACTGGGCTAACGTCATCGTGGCCCCGCATAAGGACGATCTCCCCACTACCTAGAGCAACAGCAAGGACGTGTCCACCATTGTTTTCTGTAGCTTCCTCCCCCTCTTCCATTTTGAATTTTTCACAGGACCACGCCATTGATATTATTCCTCCCTCAGCGACAAGCTGCACCTATTAGGAGACAGTGTGTTATACCTACACTCAACTACCTATAGTATGTGGTTTTTCAGGCTGTTAGGCCGACGTCTGTTAAAATTGGTTCTTTTTAAACGGTTTTATTTAGCTCACCCCGTTTGGTTTATTATTTATTCTTGGGTCAAATTTAGTAATTCAAATTTCACCCTCTTCCTGTCAACCGATTATTCTGAAATTTTGTATACACTTTCAATTTTGGTGACAATATAATTATGTTTATTCATTGTCATTATAAATCCAAGATGGCGGCCTCTACAAAATGGCGGATAACTTACGTTTTATCAATCCCACCAACAAATGAAAGAACTCAACAAGTACCAACAAACACTAAATGAATTAAACAGAATGCGAAATAAAAAATAAAAACTAGAAAATAAAAATAGGTAAAAAACTTTTTAAGTTACGGTTTTATGTTAAACATACATTGCAATGTTTAAGATAAATATACTATAAACCAAAAAATAATAAAATAGATACGGTCGTGGGAATTATAAACATATGCTAGACTAAAATAAAACTGCGGGGCACGTCAATTGTCTACAAATTATTGAATTAATGTGCGATAGAAGAATCGTTTAATTCGTCGTTAGGCAGACAATTGACGTGCCCCACATGCATTTATGATAAACATTGCAATGTTTGTTTAACATAAAACCGTTTAACTTAAAAAGTTTTTTTACCTATTTTTATTTCGTTTTGTGATCATTATCATGATCATCGATAACTGTCTCGATTGAACGATGTCGAGTACGCAAAAGATATCCAAATTATAAATAATCATTAGTTCTTTTAGTCGTCATTATTTATTTTACAAACAATCTCGGCTTCATAAATTATAGCTGTTGCCCACGACGTCATCCGCGTGACGTAATTCTTGGGAATTATTCTTAAAATCTGACATATACAGTCGCAGAATTTGTTTGATCATTTAAAGAAGTATACATTCTGTATGATTATTTTTTGTACGTATCTTAAACGGTTTACTCAGCGCACGCAACAAAAGCACTTAAAGGTGCTTTTGTTGCGTGAAAATTTTACCCGTTTTTTCCACATTTCGCTCTGTTTCTTTGCTGTTCGTAGCCTCAATAAACGATCCAACCAATACAAAAATAATATGTCAATTCTAACTAGTAGTTCCTGAGATTAGCGCATTCAAACAAATAACACACTCTTCAGCTTTATAATATTAACATAGATAATGTTTTGCGCTAACTTAGTCACTTTATCTGACGAATATTAAATGATGTTGTCGCTATTGATAAAAGCGCGCTTCAAAAGACCACTTAACAGCTTTTCAGCTTTAAGATATGTTATTTTTAGCAGAGCATATCTTCAAAGCATAATATTATTCAATAAATAGAATCATAGTGGCAATGTTGCTTTATAGTTTGAATACATAGTATGTGTTACTTTCTTCCTTCTTTACTGATAAATAAAATAAGCCTTTATTGTTATTAACTATACAAGTTTCCTTAATAACTACACTTTTATTGTTTTCTTAATTGCTAATAACTTGCCTTTCGGCATAGGCCTTTACTGATAGGTACATATTATGTTAAATTGATGTTTTTTCAACCAGCACTGAGACGCGAGAATACGCTTTAAATATTAGAGATAGCATTTTACCTGAGAAACCATAGCACCGTGAACATCCATGACAACCAGTTGCGCAGATGCGGTTCCCAAGTATACCTGACTGTCATCAGGGGTCCAGCATCCGCATGTTATCCGAGCGTCCAAAGACAACATTGAGGACCAATAACGTTGCCCAGCTACTGAACCTACCAGCACAAAGCCATCCTAAAACAAGTAACGTACAACAAACGTAGTTGTTACCGTGGTAATAAATATATTTTAAATATACATAAGTTTGTAGGTAAAGGTCGAAATTCGGATCACATTTTTTCTTTTAACATGTCAAATAGGATTAGGATTGTAGACCATGTCAGCCCCATCGGAACTTTAGCTGTAGGTATAATCTTACTTTTCAAGATGTACGTGTCGAAACTCGTTACTTAACGTTCAAAGGGAAATCTTTTAGCAAATTAAGAGTGACATACATTCCAAGCACAGCGAGACGCGTGGAAATGGAAAATTCGACATGAATATTTAATCAACAGAAAACTTCATATGAATATTTTAAAGACGCGGCTGTTACAGGTTTAAAAAGCGAATCTTATTTTTCACACCTTGTAAAAATCTTTATTATTTTGTAAAAAAAAATGGTTTGCTGTAGCTATGCTTTTAATATAGATGTCATATTTGATGTATAATTATATTCTTCTAAATTACATTTAACTCTATACAAATCAAAGTAGAGCAATTAACAATTAAGCCTAACAATTAATTACCTGGTAACAAATAAGAGCCATCCTTCCATCGTGTGACCAGGAGAAATGTGTGACCGGAGTGCTTCTGTCATTGATCAACTCAATACTCCATCGACCTTCGTACTTTATCCATACGAATATTACCCCCGAACTATCGCACGATGCCAATTTCTGGTATGGTTCATTCCACTTCACAAGTATAACCTAAACAAAATAAATTGAAAAAATCTCACAAGAACCTACATACATATGGTAGCTTTCTAATATAAAATACAGTGGAATCTCGTTAACTCGAACTTCGTTTAGTCGAAAAAAATGCTATTACCTTCCGCTGAACCTGATACGTGGTATCTCGAATTAATTAGACTTTGTAGCTCGAACAAAATGTTATTTCCCTGCGATGCATTAATAAGAATGTTTATACTCTATAACTCGAATTTCAAAAAGAAGATTCTGTCAGTCAAAGTTAGTAAAAACAGAACAGTAATCAATGCACTACAAACTTACGTAGAAAGATGTAATCATGTATTCGGTTCATTATTTCAACTTAACGTTTACTTCACTACTACGTAATTTAATTTAATAAATATATGTGTACCATCAAACTTTGTTGTTTAACTTTGACTATACAAGTCGAAAAATAAAGTTAGCCGTACCTTTCTAAGCCAAACTTTTAGTAAATAAATCCTTGTATTGTATTCTATCTCGAAATACTTGTTATGTCGAAAACTCATTAACTCGATTTTTTTAGCATTACCCTTGAAATTCGAGTTATCGAGATTCCACTGTAAAAACCATAGAACTTACACCACACTTTCAATAGAATCTAAACAAACAATGAGTTTTAAATCCGCTCTACCTTTTTAGAGAGTCAACTTATAAATGACTTATAATGTTATTAAATATTTTTATATAACAGGGCATCGTTACCTACTCATTATTATTTAATAAAAAGAAAACAAGAAAGCCTGAAGCGCTTTTAAACAGAACATTCTCTAATAGAGAGCTTTTATCAATGTTCGTTAATTAAAACTACGGTAAGTTTAAAGGCGATGGATCGAGTGTCGTTTGACGGTGAAAAACTGATTTTATCTCTATAATCGAACAGCCCATAGGCTATTGAAAACTCATTCACATGCTAAGAAACTAATTAAGTTTTCTCTATCGTTTGACACACCTTTAGCAAACGAAATATGTTTCATAATTAATTGTACTTAGGTTTTTAAGGACTCGTTATATTTTTTAGAGATTTATTAGAGGTACATATACACGGTTCCATTCATATATAAAAACACAATATACATTTTCATAAGCACGCTAAAGATGTAAATTATAACGAAATAACGTTGATAACATTTTTGCGCATACCCTTGTTCAAGATTCGTGTTTAATACGATTTTCTCCTCGTTCTTTATTATTATGAAGTATTTCTAAATTAAAACTTACATCTGATCTGTGTCCTCGTAGGTTGTAGTTGGTCCTCAAAGGTAATTCGTGGGGGCGTCTCGCGTGGGACGATGTGAAGGTTACACCCACCACCCCACGAACGTTACCTGTCGCCAACCAACCCTCTTGATAGTAGTTATTACGATTTAGTTTCCATCCTTCCTCCTGGCAAAATATGTCCGTATATATTTAACTACGTATAGAATTTGAAGAGTCAAGCAGATCTTTGCCTAGTAACTTAGTCCTACTCCGTAGTAATAATATTAAACGATAAGTGTGAGTCTGTTTGTGACTATTTTTTAACTAAACCGACATGAACGATTCTGATAAAATAAGTTTTGTTAACACTTCACGCAATGATAACTATTTTGAATAAATAAGGGTAGATTGTTTTATTAATGTAGCTGGGCTATCTAGTAATCCTTTACCTTATATCTAGTTTCTAATAGAAGTAAATTTTGCGTAAACTGTAAAATGAAATATGTCTTGTCGTTAGAGTTTGGACGATTGGCCGGAGATGGGCGCGCGATTGCCAATTACTTGAATATTAAGTTAGGCGAATTGAGCGTCGGCTATCCAATTTTATATCTGTTTAAGTCCGAGCCTAACAGGATTAGTATGTTGGTTAATTTGTATTGTTAGGTAAAATAAGAAAGAAGGAAAATATATATATATAATAAATAATAAACGCTTTGTAAATAAAAAACTCGTATATTTCGCGTTATAAATTTGTAAAAGCAACTTATTAGAAGTATTCACAATCTTTGTTTACTTACGAATAATACATATAAAAAATAAGTTACGTAATATATTTTACAGCTGTGTGTTTTATTTAAATAAAATATTCGCTCAAATTTTTGATGAAACTTACACAAGGTCTCAGAAATGCCTGCTTCAAGTATGTATACCTGTAACCTTCTGAACCAATAGAAATTCGACATATACTAAAAATAGATATTTTCTTACTAGCTATATGTATAAAGAGCTCTATGTATTAAAGGTATTTTTAAGCAGCCAAAGATATTCACAACGATATTTATTTTATAGATAATTGCCATAATAAGTTATATATTTTTCTCACAGGTCTAGACGTAAATATTATGTTAATCAAAAATTAACTAGCTACTAGGTAAAACCTAGGTACTACGGCGAAAATAACTTGGAAATTTTTAGACTATAATAATAAACGAAAAAGCTTTGCTGCTCCACTTGAGAGCTTATCTGGAAGTACACGCCACATTTAATCTCATGGATGGCTGAACGTTCTTCATTTTTCTTCGTGAAACAAAACAACCTGTTACCATTTTATGTGCAGCCTTGAATAAAATATACAACTATAAACATACTAATGTTTGATAATACTTTTTGGTTACTGAAATTGTATTTGCACTATGTACTTTTATAAATGAAGACGTTTTTGAGGTTAAAATCGTAGATATTTTTTTTATCTTCTACGCGCAAATGTCATAAGGTACTGTAAGGTACACATACTCCTAATCTCTTAATACTCCGGAAAAATAAATGTTTTTGAGAAAAGAGTTCTAATTAAGTATTATACTTACCTACAGCAAATATGCAGGCGAAAACAGACTGTAGATATGTGTAAGAAGTAGTTCAAAGTTATGAAGCTAGCAGCTATTTTAAAAGGCTCAAAGGTCTTCTTATTAGATGAAGGGGAATGAGTAGACGCGTGAAGACGAGAACGTCTAGTCAGGGGTTGTCAACCCTTTTCTATGTAACACTATTTTTGCTATTTTGTAATTTTCATGTCTATATTACAACTACTTAACTTTTTATGAAAACTAATACTCGATATGTTAAGATTGATTAATGATCATTTCCCCGTTTTCCGGCTAAATACGTCCAAAGCTTTTTACACATAAGGAAAATATAGCTCACGTTTAAATCCTATTTTGTGTATAATTAACACATTAAGTGAGAATGTATTTAATGTTGTCTACGTTGTTTGATTTTAGAAATTACAGTGGTAAACAAAAAAATTGGACCTGATAAATACTGAATTTTTTGTGTTGATAAAAGTAAGTAGGTAACGTAACTTGAAACACTTACCAATCGATATCATCTTGCTTCAAAGATCTCAACTTACAAACAACTTTAAGTAGGGAACTTTATTATATTGCTTCAGTAACAAGAATTTCATAAAAGGTAGATTGCGCAGGTGTATTAAAATTGCGAGGTTCAATATTGGTTTCAAAGTAAATACAGGTTCAGAAGTAATACTCTAGTTATGTGAATCTTTAGGATATTTCTTACAAAACGCTTAGTTCCATGTATGTAATATGGAAAATAATTTAAAAGATGGATTTTTTTAAAACGGGCTTTTTAATCGAGTAAAAAGTATATTATAATAAATACGTGTAATGTAAGCGAGCCCGTTACACAAGTAGTAACTAGCATATGGGGCTAATCTTCTCCCAGAGAGTTTGAAATCCATCATTGCAATATTTAAAAAATAGACATTAAATAGATGGTAGGAAATAGAAATGCCCAAATTCCGTCCGGTCACAAACCAATGTCTATAGATGAAAAATAATTCGTCATTTCCGTTTCAGTTAGTGAATTTACGAAAATCCAAAGCTTAAATACATAGCGTAATTAATCAGATTATCAGAGTAATAAGATAACCAGAACTGGGTATTTCCTTTTTCTTTAAAGAGAAGTACGACAGTTGAACGTAACTTGGGTTTGGATAATAATTAGAAATTTATTGGTATTTATTTTTTACATAGATACGTACCTATATATATATCCTAATTATTGTGTACATCAATTATTTGTATGAGGTCCTTAAACTCCTTTGTACACCTGTCCTTTACGAACGTTGACGTACACGTACACGTAGATAATTACGAACAATCAACGTATAGATCAAAATAGCAGGTACCTTGTTTAGATTAGCACGGCAAACATTTGTATATCATTAACGCATAGCGAAAACTATTTTACTACATTTGTATTCTATAACGAAGGTCTAGGTCACGTATTGTGTGGGTTGTGTGTGTTGTACAAATAACGAAAATACATAATAAACGTAGCACGATGAATAAAAAATAAATTATAAGTATGATCAAAAATACATGATCCCTATTTAATAAGGAAACAATGCCGAATTAAAATTTAAAATATTTTTTAGATACGATGTTTTGCGGTAAGCGCAAAGGGGAGCAAAGGTCAAATGTAAGAACAGAAGATTTAATCGAATAGGGACCGTGTTCCCATCTGGGGCGCCGTAAAACAGGAATTTATTCAAGACTTTTTCACAATCGTCAGACGAATGGCGGTTACACTTCTGCAAATTGTTTCCAATTTTCGTTGATGGTAATGAGAATTTAATGTCGCGGAATAATTGCGTCCAATTCCAATGAACGCGCGAGACTTGTTCTATTGAAATTATTCATGGAATCTCTTGTAATTACCTCATATTAACATAAATGCAATATAGGTACCTACTGGAATTTGATAGATAATGACGTTAAAAACACTCTAGTTACTGTATATTTATATTTCTATTCTCAGTAGTGGTTTTAGCCTATAAATGTAGCATAGATTAGAACAGGTCTTCTCTCTTTTAGGAGATTGGCTGAAAGAGCCATCCATGCTACACCGGTGCGGGTTTGTGGTACTATCACCACGAGGGTTTTACACGTTACCTCAGGCGTAGGGTAATGAAACCTTTACTTCAAAACTATGAGCTGGTAGATGGAAGGTGGTAAATATTCTGACAAAAACTCCAATCACCGACCTAACATTTCGTCTGACGTTCTAGGTCTACAGGTAAGTGCACTAACCAACCCAGATGGCCTAACTAGGCTGTTAATGAATATACAAAAAATAAACAATTAAAATGTAACAGATTATTCTTTTTATTATTCAAAAAAGAATAGATCAAACTAAAATCGAATTTTTGGAAATCTTTGTTAGGGGCAAAAGTACCATGTAAGTAAGACCATGACCGTAATACCGAGTAAAAACTCACCTCAGGCAGCTCGTCAGGAACTTTCCCCATCCATGATAGCGACAATATCGTGCAATCGCACTTAGCATTCACGTTCCTTTCAAAGTGTAAATGCATTATCACGTAATTTTACCACGTAATACGTCACCTTCCAAACCACTAAAAGAACGCGCGCTGTTTTCGCGTTGTATTTACACTAGTTAGATTCAACATTTTAAGTGCATTATGTGTGGAGGTTTATTTAACGGATGTACAGCTCCTGACAGTGGGTGACAAGGTAGTCTGGCTCGCCGAAGGGCTGCACAGCGCAGGTATTGATTGCGCGTAAGGGTGGTGCCTCGCGCGACCTCTGTCACGTAAGGCTTTGTGAAAACTCGGGAAACCCCGCGAAAACTCATCGTAGATGGCGTTGTACTATTTCAGAATGTTCTGTTTACTTGATTTTGAATAATACTGAACATCAATTTTATTTTGGAAACAAGTGCACTTCTTAAGAATAAGAACTAAAATGAAATTGTTTTGGCCCATTTGCGCTAATGTTTGTTAAACAAATTAAGAATTTTATATTTTTATTGGTCTTGCGGTTAAGTCATTTAGGCGGCAGAAATGTGGTTATTTAACATCTTTCACTATAGATGTAATTTCGATAATATTTACAAAATGGAAAAAGTATACAAATTTTTATTTACGAATAAGTATGTTAATAAGCGTCTCAATAGAGTCATATATATTTAAAAAAAACACTTTTACGGTGCTTTGCAGCAGCCGGGGGCCCGGGGGAACCCCCCCCCCCCCGCCCCGGGCCCGGGGAAACCAACCCCGGGGCGCCCCCCACAAATTTCGACGAGAGTCTTATATTAGAGTCATATATAGATTTTTTTTATTAAAAGTTTTGTTTCCCATTTAATATTACTAAATTATTATACATAGGTATTTCTCAGAAAACTTGACAGACTTACACGAATTTACGTTAATTCCTATCGATATATTTTTAGAAATAAAAACAAGTATCTTTATAAATGATTATTTTTAATAAGGCCAAAAATATCACAGCAATATTCAATAAATGTAATTCATGATTTTTATATATTGACTTCCTTTAAAGAACCCCATGTGTACCCCGATTTGACTTTAACTGGTAGAGGCACGCTTAATCGTATTGTCGTTTCCATGACTTCTTTTAGGATCTTTATAAAGGCGCTCTTTTTATTCTCTTGCACTTCATATATCAGTTCATCATGCATTTGTAAAATGAGATAAGGTTGGGCGTCTCCATAGGTTTTGTCATCGATGGCGCACATCGCGGCTTTTGCTATATCTGCAGCCGACCCTTGGATGGTTGTGTTCACGGCTTGACGTTCAGCCGTGGCTAGAAACGGAAGTTCGAGTTTTATTATACTCTTAATAGTTATTCTATGAGAGAAAAATATTTCCAAACTAAAATAACCCATTACGTATGTTATCTATATTAGTTAAATAATCAATAAAATGTAAACAAAAACTTCTTACTTCTTTTGCTATAAACATGACTATTAATATCTGGGAGGTAACGTCTTCGCTTCATCAACGTCTCCACATATCCTTTACTTCTGCATTCTTCTATCAAATTTTGCGTAAATACCCGCACGGCAGGGTACGTCTTATAGAAACTGTCCATGAATACAGCTGCTTCAATCTCAGAAACATCTAGGTGCTTGGAGAGAGTACGATTTCCCATACCGTACAGAATACCGTAACAGAGTTGCTTGGCTTTTTGACGAAGATCGTCATCGACCTAAGAGAGTAGTACTGTTATAATATTACGATACATAATATCTTGTATAACGCATATTTGTAACGCTTTTGCCCAGACGGCTTTGTTACAAACAGCGGAACCATTGAAAATAACCTTGAGTAGGATTGATATAGAGACAACATCTTTTTTGTCTAACAATTTAAGTAACCGTAAAAGTTATAAATAACAAGTTATTATCAATTTTAAATTGTAAACGTCCAAATGTAAGGTATGACAACACAACATGCCTCAGTTTCAGGAATCCCGCCCCACGAGGCCGCGATCGACTTGAACACGTCAACATCAGAAGCCATTATGCGTGATAAGACGACATCCTTGCTGTAGTGAGTTAGGATGCGCATTTCCAGCTGGCAGTAATCCGCCGAGACAAACACGGTGCCCGGCGAAGCTTTGAATATATTTCTACAGTTGAACTCCATTAGGTCGTCGCAAGGTTCAGTATCGTCGATGCTGAGGTATTTGAGGGGAACGCTGAAGGTTCGCGGCACGTTTTGCAAGTTCGGCTCGTGCATACTAATTCGTCCGGTGCAAGTAAACATTGTGTACGACGGATTTATTCTGCAAACCAAATTACGTATTCATAGCCCGACCGTGATGAAATAAATATCATTCGAACAGCTTGATAGTTGAAATTGCATTTTCTATAATATTTTAGACATATATAAAGATTTAAGAGAATGCGGGTATAAAGGTTTTTTATTATATGTTATATATAATAAAAAACCTTTAAGCCTTATAACGTGGGGTAAAATAATTTATAATTATTATGCAATACAATTACGTTAAGTTACAATTAGTTATACATATATAATACAATTATGTAGTTTATAATAGTAACAGACGGGATTTGAATCTTGCTTCAAAATCAATTTGCATATATCTTTCGTGCACGTGAGAATTATAAATATTGAAATGTCTTCAAGAATCAGAACTTTAACATTGAAAAATTAACCGACGCACGTAATTATAGAAAAAAACAATTAGACGTATGTACTCTTTTCCTATAACTACTTTTACTTTAGCTACATCGCACGAAACTGATCCATTGTTACTTAATACCTAATATCGATACATCACGTAAGCCTAGAATAAAAACCATGGCACACAGCCTGCATAGTGAGTGATCGTTTGTTTTGGCCCAGTGCCAAAACCCCGCGGTACTAAAACCTCATGGGTACGCTCTAAGTTTACACAGCCTTTTGTATAATGGTACGCCTAATAATTCAACGATTAGAATATTATAAAAAAAAAAACAATAGAACACGAATATAAATTGGCAGTTAGTTTTAACGGATTACAAAGCGCTTCATAATAAAATATAATTAACTATAAATTTCCACATTTTTATTGAAATATCTTGCTTTTCCCTTTCTTAACTTAACCCAGTGTTAACATGTTAACACGCGTAACTTAATATAATAATACAGACTAATCAAAAATGCGTTAGTCTTTCAGAAAAGGAAGTTTTTCCATACTTAGCATGTCAAAAGCTCTTACCTATTCCCAGTGCTATACATATAAGCCTTCTCAGTCAGTGGATAAAGAGTCTTAGTAAGAATTGAGTTAAGTTTTCTCCAGTAAATAACTATACTCGCCATCGGACTGTTATGTGATGTTAGCACGCTCTTCTTTGTGCTTACTTTGCGACCTCTGTATATACCGAGGACCTAGTAAAAAAAATACTTTAACTAGTAACCGCTTTGATAAATGCTTATAATGACATACAATAAAGGCAACGCGATGCCAAAAAGCGTTATTTATGATGCAACTAAGTTTTTCACGGAACCTTAGTGTTCAGTGTGTTAGTGTTTGTGTTGTGTTTTTTTTTTAATAATATATTAGAATATTATACATATAATAATAGCAGTAAGTGGTGTGCTTGTGGCCAAGAAGGTTGGTAGTTAAATAATTAAAACCATATTAAGCCGATTAAAAGGTTTTTGACACTGATAGTAGAATACATGTATAAAACAGTAATAAAAAATAATCTAAAAGCTAATTGAGCAAACTGCCATTAATTTGATACACAGTAGTAATTATTACACCAGTTTTGGTACAATTCCCAAAAATAACTTAAAATGTTAAAATACGTACTCACTTTCGCGACATCGTTTGATGAGTTAAAATTGAAATGGTAGCCACACATTCTGTAGGCCTTTTTCTGGAGGATTTCTTGAGAACTTTTCACATCTATTAAAAGTTGTGATGCCAATTCCTTATCAACCATAATACCCTGGTATTCAGTGTATGCTAAAATTTTTAATACTTGATTTTCTACATCTAAAGAAAAAAAAGCGTTTGTTAATCGTGAACTTACTGTGTTATAAATTATAATAATTAAATTATTACTATTCCTTACTGACAACATTCTGAGTAAATTGATATTTGTCGAACATAATTTTTTCTTGTTCTTTTGCTATATTATACACACTCCAGGCTTTGATACACGATTCTTCGATCTTATCCATATCTTCAGAACTCTTCTCAATATTGTTAATAAATGCTTTCGTTGTCAATAAATCCATGTTTAGATACTTTTTGGTCTGGTAAAATGTAAAGAATAATAGTAAATTCTAATCTACGCGAGTAGTACACATTTAAAAAAAACACTTTAACGGTTTAAAACGCGATATATTTTTTAAACCCCCCCCCAAAAAAAAAAAACCTCCCCAAAAAAAATTTAAAAAAAAACCCCCTTTTTAAAAAATTTTTTTTTTTTTAAAAAAAAAAAATTAAAAATATTTATCATTTTTAAACATGGAGTTCATGAATTTCAGTGAATATTATTCAATATCTGACTATTAATAAAACGTACAAATATATAACGGATTTAGACAAAAATATGCTATTATTTATAACGTAATAACAATGTGAACATACCAATTCTCTGACACTAGGCGTACTCTCTTCATTTTGTATAAGCCATTCGGATACAAATATATCCGCAAATATTTTCGATAATTGAACTTGTACAAGTTTTCTAAGATTTAAATACTGTGTCTTGACTGATAAAGAGCTTATATTTAGAAGAGGCGTAGAAAGACATTTCATAAACTTTGATGTAAAATGACATAAATTGCTGAGAGAGGATAGATCTAGATATAGACACAGTTTGTTCTGTAAATATATAGCTATACCGCTTCGAGCTGATACGATAGATGGCTTAGTAACTTCTACATCTGATGATTCTTCTTTAATTATATTTCCACCTATTGTAAGAGATGGAGCAACAGCCATGTTGTTTAAAAAAATTAAACTGCCCATTTTCACAGTACTAAAAATATTTAAACTGTCAACAATATCATTTTCTCTTAATACGTAACATTCAAATATTTCATTGTTTACTTGTACATTGAAAAACATAGAATTGCTTGATTTTAAATAAAGCGTTCTTTTGTTGGGAATTAATTTGAACTGTAAAATTGATTTTGATTGGCTTGTTTTACTTCTTTTCCTTTGGAATTCTCGGCCATGAATATTTTTAATTTCCGTATCATAACTGCGTTTAAGAGGACTTATAAAATCTTTTTTTACCAACAATTCTGAACTATCTCTTTGAGTTGATATTTCGTCTATATCTTGAGATATAGCTGGATTTATATTTAGTTCTTCAAATTGTGTTTTATGATAACTTTTCATTAACATCAACAAAGTTAATTGACATATTTTTATCGTCAAAATTAGGTGACTTGTATGTGTTTACAGCCGTAGAATTTAAATTCAAAAACTCTGTTTCATGTATGCCATTATTGTCGTACTTTGACTCTATTCTTGAATCGATTACAGTATTTGGAATTAAGTCTAATGGTAAGCTATCTTCAAAAAGACTAGAATTATCACCTTCTGAAGAAAATATGCTTACGTCTTTAATACTCTTTGCATCACATGATTTTATTATGTGAGCTGTATTGGATAATTCTATATTATCTTCGAAGTCACCAAAACTTATATTAGGCGAAAACTCTTTTGGCGGTAGTCTAATTTTTGAAATATTATTCAATGCAGTTTCATTTACTTGTAATGAATCCCACGCTGTATCCGGTTCAATAAGGACTAAAGACTTTCCAATGGTAATTTCATTATTGCATCGCGGCACTGATTCTTTTCCTTCGTTTAAATTTGAACATGGCGAATTATCTTCCTCAACCTTTAATGCAATGCTATGACTCTTTACATGTTGCAAGTTAGTTTTATTATCAATACAAACACTATCCTCATTTTTCGGGTCACACGCGATGTCACACTTCAATTGGAATTCCGGCTGTAATTCCTTACAGTCACTTTCTCCACTATTCTCATCTGCTATCAATAATTTATTGTCCCACTTTATTTCTACCACACCAATTTCGAATTCTAAATATTTCCTTGCTTCCAAAATTAAATTGTCGGCAGCTTCTTTAGCAGTCATCCCGCAAAAGCCGGTTATCCAGATGTTTCTCATCTTATTTCGTTTTCGTATGTCAGCATCATCGTCACCTTCCATTCCCTTTTCACTTTGAAAAGGTGCAGCTTTATGTAACGCATTTTCTATTTCATTTACATTTGCTGAGGCTATGCTTGTTATTGTCTCAAAACCCATATTAAATAATGTCCGTGCTCTAACGCTATTCAATGAAGTTAATTTCATTAATTCTAATAGTTCAGATTGAACTCCAAAATGTAGTCTATCCTGGAATTGTGATATTAGTAATTCCATGTTCTTCCAGCCCAGCTGTCTGCAAAAAGCTGTTACCATACCTAAAAATAATATAAAGCTAAGTTTATAAATTAATGAATTTGATGATACAAAGTATTCCACGAGGTAATTTATACCAGCAAAAGTTGCAGCAGCTTGCTGCAGGCCTTGAAGAAATCCACGTGCACATTGAAACTTTGTAGCCACATCAGAGAGAGGTACTTCATTAACTAAATCTTGTAACGCCAATGCTGTATAGAATCTGAAAGGTAAAGCATACGCATATTAATTTGTGTAATGACAATAAACACCAGACAGAGTTTACCCCATTTGTACTAAGGTATGTTGTGTTTTAATATGTACTAATTAATAGAAATTTATGAAAATTAAATAGTTATGTCATTGGAAGTGTTTATAATCCTCGAGGGATTATTTGGTAATATTTTTAGAAACCCACCTTTTATGAATATTTATTTTTTTCTGACAGACAGATTTACTTCCTCCTCTTAAACAACGAATAATAAAACTCTCCTGAACCCCCACTAGCTGTCCAACTCTTTTCATGGCCAAAGTAAGGGATTCCCAAAGGGTTAATAAATGCAACCAATCTAAATCTGCCCATTGACTACTAACACTATATGGTGTGACTAGATAAATAAGATGCAAGTCCGTTTCTAAAACAATACACTGGCGAGCTTTTTGTAGTTCACAAAATAGAGACAGGCCATCATTAGGCGCCATACTTGACGAAAGACACGCCTTGCCCAATGAAGTAGCAACATAATTCTCTTCTGAATTTATTGACTGAACTCTCACCAGTTCAAAATCTATAAGTTGTTTTAAAGTATTCTCTAAAAGTGAGTTCTGTATAGTTAAATCATGTTGTTGATTAAATAGTAATGTACATTTGGAATACAATATTAGATCTGATTTCACGCATACAACTTGACTTGCAATCATTTCTAAAACTGCTCTCATAAACTTGTCCTCACTTTCTATGCAACTTTTTACTGGATCCAGATTACCCATCATTAGATTGAATCCAATTTTTTGTTCTGCCTTAGTACATATGAGTATACTTTCACCCTTAGTATCTTTACCCATTCGTCCAGCTCTCCCAACCATTTGCTTGTATGTTAGAATATTAATTGGTTGTCTTTGAAAAACAGGTGACCTTATAATTACTTTTCTTGCAGGTAAATTCACGCCAGAACTTAAGGTTGATGTTGCTACTAAAACTCTAAGAGCCCCCGATTTGAATGCCCCTTCAATTATATCTCTTTCATCATAAGTCAGACCAGCATGGTGAAACGCAACTCCAAATGATATTACATTTTTTAAAAGTTGATCTAATTTTACTGGACAGTTTTTCAGTTGTTCTAATACCTCTGAGATTAAATCAGATCTTAGCTGTTCTCGTAGCATAGGACCTATTTCTTGATCATTGCTTCCTAATCTAAAAAAGGATGATGCAATATTCTGTGCTAGGTTTTCACATCTATTCTTAGTCATGCAAAAGATAAGAACTGAACAGCCTTCTTTAATTGTTTCCAAACATATATTGAGTACACTGTCACAGTCTTTATTCTCGCTCATAAAAGTCATATTTTGTATAAAATTACCTAAATTGTCATACAATTTGTTATCAACTAAACAACACTCATCTAAAGGAATTGGTCTAAAATCAGTTATAAAAAGTTCAGCATCTAACCAATTTGCTAAGACCTCTAAATTTGGAAGTGTAGCAGACATTCCTATAATTTGGATATTAATATCATCAGTCTTATTGGTAAAATACTTTACCTTTGTTAATAGGAGTTCTAAAATATACCCTCTATGAGGATCACCAAGTAAGTGAAGTTCATCAACAATAACAGCACCGAGATCAAAGATACTATTATCATCAAGCATTTTATTAACTAAACTGTTAGCCTTTTCAATTGTGCACAATGCAATATGGACTGACTGAAGACCTCCTGGTGGTGATTGTGAACCCATAAACCCTTCAACCCGAATGCCTGAGCTTGAAAAGATTTGTTGTAAATAAAACATTTTTTCTCTAACAATAGATACATAAGGTAAAATAATTATAACTTTCTTCTGACGCTCGAGAATGGTTTTGACAGCCAAAATTTCAGCAACAAGTGTCTTTCCAGCTGATGTGGGAGCAGAATAAATAAGATTACAACAATGTAATAAAACCTTAGAGTTACTTAAACAGTCTGCTTGCCATTTAAACATTCTACTTATTCCTTTCTGTTCATATTGTTTTACAATCGTCATAGGTAATCCCCAGTTCTTCAAGTCCTTCCTAAAGTTATCATCAGCTACAGTACTTACATTCAGCAAGGAGCAATCCAAAGAATGTTTTTTCTTTATATTTAATTTTGTTGATGTTGAAATATCATTAACTTGATCTTTCTGTTGAGATATATATTCCTTGACTTCAATCAGTGAACTTTTCAATGTAAAAGAATTATCGAAACAATAATCCAAGAAGGATACATTTTCATGCAACATTCGAAAATCAATTTCATCGCGATCCATTATAAAAAAAGTAATAAACACATGTAAGTAAAAATTATTTAAACTATACTAAAATGTATTTGTTTAAAAATCCTACAACGATTTTTATCTTGTTATTAAACAAACTTTGACGTTATCATTGACAACATATTTTATCGAAACTGGCAAACGTCAAATTGAAGAGTAAGAACGTGCATTTTTGGAAGAATTTGGAGTTAGGCCTAATAAGTTTGTTAAACAGAGTTGAAAATGCAACACTGATCGACAAAAAAAGCGTTGCGTTTTAAATGCGCCGAAGTGTGAACCCGTATGTATGTACAGTATGCATAATATATGTTCTATTTGAACGCTTTTTTAACGGACGTTAAGAACGCTGTCTTGCATTTAGGCCTTATTTTTCCTTCTATGATATGGCTTTTAGTGCTGTTTCGCCGATTTTATTGTTAATGGTTTATTTTTATTTTTTAATCAATTCGTCGTCATCCTAATGAAATAAAGAAACACTTTTTAATAATTCTTTACATTGCATTTTTTATTTATTACCAATAATAAAAAATGAAATAGATATAGTAACAGTTATTTGTAAAATTCAATAGAAATGTGTCATAATATTTTTGTAGCAGAACTTTCTTTTCCTTCAGTAAGTGCTCTGGATTCGTGAATAAAGGCAGCATAGTTAACCCCCTGCAACCAAACATAGAGCAGAGGTGAACAATTTTTAAGTCTTATAACTTAAAAGACAAAAATTCCTTTCATATAAGACACATTAATGACAATTGTTATTATGCTATAGATGTATTTGTGTACTGCTTGATTGACACAGTATTGAAGGGCTTGCACTGTGGAGGGTTGTACTCTGCTTGTTTTAGATATGCGAAATTCTTAAATACATTAATCATAAAATTGTGTTCTTAGTTAGTTAAGAATTTAACTAGTGGCTGTGCTATACCTGCTGCATTGCTGCTCTTACAAAGCCCACATTAGCTGAAACAGTAAGTGCCTTGATCCTATGTCCGAAATTAAATACTGTCTTAGATCGTAAACGTACATTTCCTCTTACTTTTAAAGTCTGCCGAGGAAAATCATCAGGTCCTGAAAGTATTACAAAATTTAAAAAATTGTATCGCTTAGTAAAGAATAAATGTTTTAAAGTATTTACAACACTTGCTTATAAGAGACAATGAAAAAGTAAAACCTGCACAAGACAGCATACCTCATCACATAAAAGTACAAGGTTTGCCTTGAAATTAGAAATACACAGGCTCTCTATCTATGACCTGTATTTCTAATTTAATATATTTAAGAAATTTTTTAGAATGATCTAACCTCCATAATTATCATCATAAATTGTTAATTTTTCTTTTAACTGCATTGTTCGCTGCTTTTCATGGGGTCCACCAAGAGTGTTTACGATTTTCTCAAAGTTATCCCAAGCAGTTCTGCAGCATACCAAAGATTTTCCTGAAACAACATCCTATTTTTGCTCTGTACTCTTATTTGAACGTGTATCAGCATCTTAATTGCATATGTAATAACATTAAAGCTCCTATGGCTGTTTGAAACACATATATTAGCAGAAACATGACAACAGGTCTTAAGGATTTTAATTGTATGGTTGACTATGATGAATGGTACAGACAAAATATTCTTATAACATTTAAATAAAACACTTTGACGGTTTAAAACGTGATATATTAGTTAAACTTATTTGAAAAATGATTTTTAACGTCGGCCCGACGTTTCGGATGCTTTATAACAGCCTTGGTCACGGGGAGACTGCAAAACATCCGAAACGTCGGGCTGAAGGTAAATATCATTTTTCAAATAAGTTTAACTAATTTATCGCGTTTTAGACCGTTAAAGTGTTTTATTTAAATGTGTACTACTCGCGTAAACTATAGACAGTATTCTTATAACATTTCAAACTGTGTTACTTTATGTGTAGTGACTTCTTTTTTGTTGTTTGATTTTTTTTTAAAGCTGGACATCAAAATCTCAATTCACATAACTCAGGGTAGAAAGCTACTCTATGCAAGTTTATGCAATAAAGTATAAAAATTAGGATATCTACATTATAGTTCTACATTAGACTTTATAGATGTACTTACCTTCAAATAATTTATTTAATATAGGTTTTACAGGTCTCTCTGCGTCCCAAGCCGCTTGTTCTGTTAGAACATCTTGTTTAAAAACATACTTGCAGTGACCATTAGTCATATTGCTTACATATGCCATCATTGCTGTTACATCCAAATTTAGAGTGGTGATACCACTTTCATCAACATTATTTGACAAATTTGCTAGTGTGTGATTTGCAGTAGTTTCAAAAGAAAAATCTTCATCATCTGATAAATCTGAACCATCATCATCACTTTTGTTTATTGAGTTTTGTAGTATTTCTCCATTTACTATTACACCACATGCTTTTAACTTATTGGCTAAGTGCTCTTCTATTCCACTAACAAACTCAAATATAACCTGAAAAAAGAAACAATCAAAGACAACAATTGGAACCTTGGATTCTAAAATTCAACTCTTGAGAAAAAAACAGTCAATTACCTTAGGTGATTTGTACATACAAGGGTAAAGTTGAGCACATTCAATATAGTCTTTTGCTTGGTCTAAAATAGATCTTGCTCCATAAGATGAATTCCCTTCACTTAAGGCTGACAATGATTTTGGGTTCCGAGCAATCACTGCAATTAAAATTTTTTTTTTTAAATAAATGAATTAATATATATATTTAAATAATATGATTGTGTCTAGTCACAGAAAACAAAGTAATATCTCTTATACTTTCTTAAACAGTAAGCACAAACCTTTAGTCCATGTCTTTCCTTCTTCACTTATAATATCAATAACAAGTTTACATTCAGCATTAATGTGGAAGATTTTACAAACGGAAATGACCCCATCTCTCATTGCACTATCCACCATTGCCCCAAGATGTCTCAAATTAGAGCATGATAACTGCTCAGCTTTTATTTTTTTAGACCTTTTCAACTGAAAAATCAATCTGTATCAATTAATATCTGCAAAAACAACGACAAATGTACACTAAATAGTTATTTACCCTAGCTAAGAAATCAATTTCATGCTGAATTTTCCTTTGTAATTTTGGAACACCATCTACGTCACGTATAGCTTCTAATTTTCTTATTAACTCTTCTCCATAATTAATCTTCTCAGTGACCATACATATTAATTCTTCAGGAGTATAGCTCATTGTTCTTTTAAAGTAAAAGAGCAATTATTCTTTTTATTTTAATAAAATGAAGAACTTCTCAAATAAAAAAACAATGTAAGGCTTTTAAATTACTAATATTCACAATATTGGATTAGAAATAAATTACAAAAATATGCAACAAAATACAGTGTATTTGACAGGAATACAATCACAGATTATTTAAGTGTCAGATTTGAAATTGGTAAGCAAAATATAAAGTATGTTCACAGACTTACTAAAAAGGTTATATTAGAAAACCTATCCATAACAAACACGTTATATTTCTCACTTTTCATTGTATCTATATTAGAATGAAAAGTGTAGATTTTCTATGATTATTCAAAATTTAATTCGCATGCTACATCCGGTCAAGTAAAATTTTACTCGATGAAACTCTCAATACCTTTCTAAGATTAAAACATATCGATCGTATACGTGATATATATTTATATTATTTTCGCATGTCTTAAAAAATAATTAGTAGGAAGGAAATCGCAATTTTTTTTTCTGAATTTCCTATAGCTTAATGACGTCACGCGTGATCACGTGGTTGACGTTTCGTGGACCAATCATCGAGGCCCAATCACCTTAACATCTACAAATCGGACATAACCAAACTTCCAAACTATAATTTTAAGAAATGGCTGACGACAAAGAGGTAGAGAAAACGATTGCCGAGGACTTGGTTGTAACCAAGTATAAATTAGCTGGACAAATCGTGAACCGTAAGTGACTAATGAATTAAATTATCTTTTGAACGAGTTATTAATGGCCATCGTGTATTTGTACTCGCTACCATCGACGCGTGTCATCACCATGCGGACGCTGACTTTCCGCATTCTTCTTTATATTTAACTGAAACACAGCTATATAATTGACATTGGTTTGATTCTAGGTGTCCTAGAACAAGTTATTGCTAAATGTGTACCCGATGCCAGCGTTCGTGAAATATGCGAATATGGTGACAATCTATTACTAGAGGAGACTTCGAAAGTGTTTAAGAAGGAGAAGGATTCCAAAAAGGGCATCGCATTTTCGACGTGTGTTTCAGTGAACAATTGTATTTGTCACTTTTCTCCTATTCCAAGTGAAACCGATAGTGTTCTGAAGCAGGGAGACCTTGCTAAAATGTAAGTAACACTTTTAAAGTATGAATTTTAGAGTAAGGCATGAAAGCCTCATTATTATTTATGCGGGCTTATTTTGCTATTGGTTAAAACTTTTGCATTGTACTTGTGTATATTCAGTTAGCTTAGTACATAATTAAAAAATGTTATCTACAGTGACTTGGGCGCACACATAGATGGATTTATTGCAGTGGTTGCGCACACTGTTGCCGTTGGAGGTGGAGAAGTATCAGGTCGGGCTGCTGATGTTCTGCTTGCTGCTCATCATGCTAGTGAAGCCGCCTTGAGGTTATTAAGACCAGGCAATGAGGTAAGTGGTTACTTTAAAGCTTAATAATATACTAACTTTTGTATAGCAAATGTAGAATAACATTTATAAAAAAAACTATTACAGAATTATGCTATAACTGACGTTGTCCAAAAGATTAGTACGGAATATGGATGTAAACCTATGGAAGGAATGCTGTCACACCAATTAAAACAATTCCGGATTGATGGAGAAAAAAGCATTATTCAAAACCCTACTGAAGCCCAGAGAAAGGAACATGAAAAGGCATCTTTTGAAACATATGAAGTCTATGCAATGGATGTTCTTATTTCTACTGGAGAGGGTGTGGTAAGCTTTCCTTAACTCACTACTTTGGCACTTCAAAACATCCTTTCAAGTCAAGACAATAATTATAAGGGCTTATTGGTCTAAAAGTAGCATTGCATAAAATAGCAATCAGGTGGATCTTTGCTAAGAGTCCACCATGTTTCTTATGATTTTATAATTTGTCTAAAACATGTTAGACTTCCCCTTGAAATGTGGTTTAATTTGGTGGTAGGAATAATGTAATGCCATCTGGGTCACAAACTACCCTCTACAAATGAAAATGCCATGAAGTTTAATCTCATTATGTTTTTAGTCTATGGATTTCCAAATATCCAAAGTTCAAATAGGCTGACAGCACATCTTGTGAGATGGTATATGACTAGGGTATTTTACCTTCCATCAAGTGAACCCCAAGCTTGTCGGTTCTCTATTATAAAAAAAACTATCTGCTCCTACCAGACACCCCTATGTGGCATGTTAGGTTAATGTACACTACTTCAAATATCCTGGAAATACATTGATTGGCATTGTTTAATAAATTATTTTGATTGTTTTTAAACAATCCCATAAAAGAGATTCTACTGTATTTTGTTCTAGTAGTTGAATTAGTCTGCCTTTGCCCCCAAATGCTTGTTATAACAATTATGACTGCTTTGCCCAATCCTCGAACTTTTCTATAACTTGTTTATTGAGTATTTGTCATACTATTACAGGGTAGAGAAATGGACACTAGATGTACAATATATAAGAAAACTGACGAAGTTTATCAACTAAAATTAAAAGCTTCAAGAATGTTCTACAGTGAGGTGGGTTGATGAGAATTTTTGGATTTTCTAATATTTTGCCCCAAATATTTCTTACACTTACATTTATATGTTTTTGTTTTTAATTTTGGGGTTATATCAATGTAATGTGTTTGAACCAGTTTGTTTTTGAACAAACTGGTATAGATCATTACTACATTTTATGTAATTTGGAACTTACTTGCCATTTTCAAGTACTCTACTGATTATTAAGTATACTTATAGGTACGCAACAAACATGGTTCTATGCCCTTCAACTTGAGAAGCTTTGACAAGGAAACCAGTGCAAGACTAGGATTAGTGGAATGTGTCAACCATAAGCTCATTGAGCCTTTTCAGGTTAAGATTTCACATAATATTTGATTAAATTAATTTTTGTCCTATAATTTCAATACATTGTCAATACAATAAACAAGTTTTCAGGCTAGTAGTAAGATTAGATTTCTGTATCTTGCCAAACTGAAACTTTTCACTTTCCTACAATTTAAACCTAGACATAGCACTTCTAGCATTCAAGTTAATGGTCCAATAAATATGAACAAATTTGTTTTAAATTAATAGGTACTGTATGAACGTCCTGGGGAACTGGTGGCGCAATTCAAGTTTACAGTACTTTTGTTACCAAGTGGTACACACCGCATAACTGGTTTGCCATTTGACAAAGCGCAGTGCCACACAGAGCGTACCATTAAGGACCCAGAATTAAATGTAAGTTTCTTGCGGTTATGACTAGTTACACAAACAATTTTCCCTGATATCTTTCAAAGCTTTCTCTTTTATTAGAATGTTTTGGTACAAGCTCAGGGTAAAAGAAAGTAATTTTTTTTGAGCTGATTTGTTTATTATAGCAATTTGGTTTGAACTATTACAACATTTTTTCTTTAACTTTGAATTATTACACTTAAACACCCAAATTTTCTTTACATTTAGAACTTTGAATATTTTTTAGGCTCTTCTTAACTCATCTACAAAGTCAAACAAGAAGAAGAAAAAGAAAGCTGGTGCTGAGGAGCCCATGGAGGTAGAGACAGCTGCCTAGCAAATGAGCCCTTTCCAAGTGGATCTTACGTAACACTGCTTCTAAATCCAACAATTCCTATGACTACTCTATACTAAACTTTTTTTTATTATTAATGTACAGGAAATTAAGTAAGAATATTTTTAAGGTTCCTGTTAAAACATATTTTAGTATCTCTATGGATTTATACAATTTTTAATTACCTTTTCTTTTTAGTTCAGAGTAGTCAAACAGGAAGTAAACTTGTCAATGTTACTACTATAGCCCCTACAAAATTTTATTGCAATTTTACATCAGCATTCCGATTGCAAAAAAAAAAACATGTGATCCATTGAAAAAAAAAATTGAAACAGTTGTATCTTATTTATCTTCTCAAACTATATATTTTGTAGTATGGAATTTATCTTATAACAGCTAAGCTGTTTACTATAGATTATGCATGGTATGGAGAACATAAAATCACCATATTTTCACACTGTGTGGGCTTAATGTAATCAATAAATCGTTTAAAGTAAACCAAGTTCCCAAAAAACAACTCCTTTGTTATTAAATTTTACTCACTGCTGTTCATATTATTGGACTCAATCAGTAAATATTTGACTAACGATAAGGAATGAACTTATCTGGGCACAAAAGGCTTTCTTTTTTTATTGTTTGTGAGTAATGAACTGTCAAAGACCAGAGCATTGAAAATTCCTAGAGCTCGAGTTCAAGCAGGCAATTTAATTTTTACTTATGATTCCACAAATAGATTACTAACTGTAATAACAATTTTATATATGTTACTTTCTGTGCATTGTATGGAACAAACTTATTTTTTTAAACCCTGTGACATTGAGATAAATTAAATCTGAACTGCCACAATCTGTTGTGGACTGTTTTTAAAATGACTTTTATTTATGTTATACATATAGCAATTATTTTTAATGGGAAAATCTTGAAAAACAGTAAGCAACCTATCACCCATTTTACCACTAATCTGTTGTTTCACTTGTTAAATAGGCGAGATTAGAGTTGTAGGCGGAATCTAATGTGACATGGGAACCCACTGTGATTATTTTCCAAGAAGTCACAACATCTACAAACATGAAAATATTAATGTGAGTGGTCCCAACCCTTGAAGATAGCTGAAAGTAGGATGCTTGAGAAAGTACAAATTATTGATTTATCAGAAGTCTTAAATAAACCTCAAAGTACTGAGACTGGTGTTTTATCACTTAATTAAGAAAATGTATCAACTTACAAATTAATTTTTGAACTCTACTGCTGTAAGTATTCAATATGATGAACATAAACATTTTTAACATTAATTTATTAGTCAAATAAATACTACATTATTATATATTATTGTTTAGATTGTTCTTCATTTGTACTTTTAGTTTGTTCTTGTTCTAATAAAGATGACATAAATTCATAAGTTGATAGAGCAGCATTAGATGTGTGATCTGGTAAATCCACGAGAAACCTGAAAGTTGTCTTTACTCCACTATTCCAGTAATATTTGAAGAGGTAAGATATTCTATCGTTTGATGGTAGTGGTGGAAGCTGAAAAAATTTTAATATTTTTATTTGCATTATTATCAAAATCAAGTTGGTGGGAATTTAGCTGCTGCCACAAATCAATATGTGCATTCAAAAACCTTTGGGATGGACTCAATTTATTGTTTAGAAACTCCTTATGAATGTAATATTTTAAGCAAGGATTAAATAATTTTGGTTGTATCAATAATTCGTTATTACTGCCAGGTATATCTAGTACTACAATCAATGTAATTAGCTGCCTCTTAATTTACCTCATAAGGTATTTGCTTACGTAGTTCACCAACGTAAGGAGAAACTCCGTTTTCTAACTCTTTATATAATTCAGATGTGGTTGCACTATCTTTCCAAACGCCCTTATCAACTGTGTAGTAAACAGCAGACCCTAAAATTGCTGACTTGATACCAAACCTAAAATATATTTAACATTAATAATATGCTTCATAGATATACTTAATTATAACAAAATAATTACAAACGAACTTTAACATGATTTACGTTGAGAATATATGATTCACAATATTAAATAAATGCCTAGACTTATGTAAGTTTTTGATTCCTTTAAAGAAATGACATTTTAGATTCAATTGGATTCAATTCAAGTCTACCACAGAACGGATAGTGATTCTCCGACGTCACGATCACGAATTATGTGACGTGTGTGTGTATATTCTGTGATCTTCAATAATCAATTGTCTGTTGATCTTAGCCCTAATATATAATCTGACATCTGTATTATAATACTGTTGAGGGTTTGGCTTAAACTTAGGCCTTACCGAAAAATAATATTATAAAAAGAAATACAAATACAGTACGCGGCGAGGAATAGAGCAGTATACAAGATATATTAGGGCTAAGGCGGTTTAGGTGAAAAACAATGCCCATCAAAAATACCAGATTGAATATAAAGAATGAACAGTTTATCAATGTTATTGATAGATGCTTAGTTCCAAAACTTGCCAAATTTTACGAAGAAGCTGATGAATATCCCGAGTTTCAAACAAGGAATAATTACTTAGGTGATAATTTCCCAATAATACTCAAAAACTTACAGAACTTTACCAAAAACGAGTTGCAAAAGAATCCAACTGGAGTTGCTATTTTAATAATCTTGTATTATGAATTGAACTCTAATGCAAAATGGAATACACCTCGCCTTACAGACATTGCCAAGAAATTGAATGAAGTATTCATAAAGATTACCGATATATCCTTAGAGTCAGTCTTTATCAGTAATAATAGTTTTGACTCAGAAATAGTATTCTATGAATGTTTTGAAATGCTTCACTTGAAATTAACTTCCGACAATATCAGATTGTACCCAACACAAGTTTTAGTATACTGCAAATTATTGGAAAATATACAAGTATGTAAGATCTGCATATATTTTTTTAAAACATTGTGGGTTATACCTTATTTCTGTTAATTTTCATTTCTTTTTTCAGAATTACTATATGGCTTTAATACCCTCGAAAATATTTCCAATTACTTTACTCCTTATAGAGGATTCATCAAATTTCTATAAAAGGAAAGGATTACATTGTTGTTCAGTCTTATTAAAGTGTCTGGTAAGTATTTAATAAAGATAAAAACAAAATGAAATATAAAAGAATATGTCATATCTTTTTTATTTTTACAGAAAACTGAAGATTTTAAAAATGGCAACTATTATGAAGTAATATTTAAAACCTTGATCAGAAACCTATGTGAAAAAGATCTCGATCTTTTAAAATTAACACTGTCAAGTATTCTTCAATTATGCAAAATATTACCCGAATTTATCAAGGTATGTTGTATACACAAATATGGTATGGTAGCTGTAGATACTTATTTGTTTTAAAGCCAATATTATAATTTCAGAGTAACAAGTTAGACGAATTGTATATCAGTTGCTTGGATCAAATTTCAATGGAATCAAATTTATATAGGAAGGTGGAATATTTTAATTTCATTAGTAATGTTATCACTATTCACAAGGAAAAGTGTTGCAACAAGAGTTTATTCAAACATATTGTGTATCAAAACTTAGACATATGCACCAACACAACAGTGATAGAAATTATATGTAAACCTCTCCTTTTAGTAAGTATTTGGCAAATATTTTATCATCATCATCAATACAAAGCGTTAGTGATTTTGCTTTTGCCAAAAACCATATTCCGAAAGGGCTCATTATTTTTCTGACTTTCACTTAGAATGTCAATTGGCCTTACTTAAACTTTAAAATACCTAGCTTTAAATTGTCAATTTTATTTGATACAACATTTGGTTATTTAATTTATTTGCAAAATTGAAATTGTAGTTACAAAGTGTTTTCCTTTCATATTATAAAAACTTTTCCAACTTTCAGTGTCTGGAACAATGGATTGTTTACTGCTGGCCAGTGTGGAAATACAGTTTAGACCACAAAATGCTTTCATCTCTTCTTAAAGTGTTATATGTATGTAAAGAAGAGATTTTGGTAAACCTAATACAAAAAATTATTGTTATTTTGATCTCTCTATGTACACCAATTGAACAAAAGCAGTTATTACACCACTTGGAGAAATATCAAGATATTCAATGTGATTTTTATAGTAATAAAGTAGAAAAAATAATATCAGTTTTTAAGATGTAAATATTGCTATTTTATTTTTGTAAATTATATTCTATTTATTTTCATAATATTTATATATTTTTTATTCAGTCATATTATTTACTCTTAAACAATTCATATAGTCTATTGCACACCTCTATCATAGAAGGACGGTCTTTTCTATTCCTTTCTAAGCACCACTGAGCTAGATTATATATTTCTCCTGCATTGAACCACCCACTAACTTTCGGATCTAAAATAGAACTAATATCCCCTCTAAAGTTTTCTTCAACAAAATCTTTTATATTTAATTTCTCACCATTCATTATGACAATAGGTTTTAACCCTGTAAGAATTTCAAGTAGCACAATGCCAAAACTAAAAATGTCTATCTTTTGTGTAATAGTTCCATGTAATCCTTCTGGTGCCATGTATGCTGAAGTTCCCATAGGGCATGTTGTAATTATTGTTTGGTCATACTGTTTAGCAATGCCAAAATCGCACAGCTAAAACAAAAAAATACAATTTTTTAATGAAAGTATGATTTCAAAATTTTTTCATTTCTAATGTTTACCTATTCAAGTATATGAAAATCTTATTATACACCTAATATGTACATAAGACTTACCTTTGGAATACATTCCTTTGTTAACAATATATTAGCAGTCTTAACATCACCATGAACAAAGTTTGTTGTAGAATTCTCAGAGTCTGAAGCAATGTCTCTACCTAAGTTTAAGAGTTCTCTATCACTCTGAACGGGAGCCTCACTTGTATGTAAGTATTTCAGACCCTCAGCAGTACCAAGTATAATATTAATTCTTTGATCTAAACTAAGATTTTTGGCAGCTATTTTGTCTAATAAAGAACCTCCATCTATATATTCACTTACAATACAAGGCACAGGTCCATCTATGGAATACCCAAAAATAGGTAATATATTTTCGTGTCGAAAATGAGAAAGGAATTTGACTTCAGCATTAAAAGCTTTCATAGCAATGTCTGGCTTCCGCTTGATATCCAAATAGCTACGCACTTTTTTAACAGCTAGTATGCCATATTCAGGATGAGATCCAACATAAACATCACCAAAACCACCACTTCCAATTTTACCTCCTTTGAAGGCATTTGGGCCTTCAAGAACAATGTCAGAGAAATTATGTGTAATCCTTTCCAATTCCTTATATGCAAAGTTTTTCAGTTTTGTATCCTGAAGTATAGCGCTATCTATGTCAATAGATATATCAATATTAGGAAATGATTGCTGATAAGCATTAGGAGAATTTACTTCAGAGGACACATGACCCATTGCCTCAAAGTCTGGTAAATTACTAGATGATAAAGTATCATTAAAAGTTTTGTTGTCATCACAAATTTTGACTTCAGTTGTTGAGAATTTCATTAAATCAGAGTCTGACTTAATTTTTGCAGTAGTTTTATTTCCAATTGAAAAGTTAATGTTGGATTCATTGATTGTACCCCTAGGATTACTTGATAACATTTGCCTGGTTGTCTGGTCACAAAGTCTATGTATATTAGTGTGATTTATACTGCAGTCTATGCTATCATTTAACATTCCTGTAATATCTGTCGTAATTGGAGCAGCTGGACCATCAGTAGGACGATGTGGTTTCGTTTCTGTAAGATGTGTTTTATAGTAATTTGATTTTAAATTTAATTAAATTAAAACATATCTTACTCTTATACAGTACTACATACCATTTAATACTTCAGCTAATTCATCTGCAGCTCTATATAGAACTTGAGTTTTGTCAATAATTGACTTTAGATCATATAATGTTGGTCGAACTCTGCCAGATGTAGCCCATTCGTCTAACAAAATTTCAGTACACTTCAAACAACTTTCTCTTGAGTATTCCTCAATCATTCTGCAAACGGTGGACGTGTTATATAAACATTCTAGTCATGATATCGGTTGAAAAAAATTCAATTCAAAACCTAAGACTTACTGGATATGTTCATAATTATACTTGGGTTCAAATTTTTCACTGCGTATATCTCTTGGAATGTTAGACATGAATTTTTTCCAGTCATCGTTAATCTCAAGTATATTAATTAAATTACACAAGAGCCCCGATGGAAGCTTTCGAATTTCAATGTTTTTGTACATAATTGCTAATGTAAGCAAACATAAACTTAAAACAATTTATTCGTTGTGAATCCACTTGTTTACTTAAAAATTATTGTCACAGACTACTATATAACCAAAGACAATTGTATATGTATTTTGTTGTTATATCGTAGGCAGATTTTTAATCTATAACTTCTTTAAGGAAAAAATGTTTTATCTGTTTTATTTTTTTATTATGATTAATATTAAACTGTGATACAAAAGTAAATATTTAAAACTGAACATGATTTTCATAAAAAATTTCAGGTAGATTTGACATAACATCTTGTAGTTGATTATATTTTTGTTGTGCCTTAATTCGCCTCCATAAAACAAGGCATTCAGTATTTTCACATTGCAGAAATTCTTTATGTCCACAACAGGAATAGCATACCTATAAAAAGCAACAATAGAACACTGATAAAAAATAACGAATAATTGCTTTGTATAAGAATATTGTAAAATCTTGCGTGTATTTATATTTTGTAGCAATATATTAAAAAATTATAACCTTCATAATATCAATATTAATTGACCTGGTAACAAAGTTAAACCGATTCCTAATAAAAACAAATTATATTTTATTGACAATATTTGGTGGCTAGTGGAGTACCGCTTTTTTCTTAGTCCCCTACCCTACCCGCTAATAATCCGCAGGATTTCTTCCAGAAGGAAAACATGCGCTTTCACTTTCATTATCATCTACTTAGTAATAGCAAACGTTATACATTACTTGATATGAATTTGAAATATGTGTTTCCGTTCGGAGATTTTTAGTCCTGAGAACAGAAGTGGCAACACGGGTGTTAGTTACACAACTGGCACACAAAGCACGAGCCCCTTTAGCGCCGCATACTGCGCATCGCCCTCTCTGCATATATCGTGCTATGCCATCAGCCACTCCATCTCCGCGCTCAAAATGGACTTCACGAGTCCATCCTACTTCATTCCACCTACATTATAAATAAAGATAATTTTAAAGTATTTAAAAAACTTTAAACACTCATCATCAAACAACATGTTTCATACAGTACAGTCTTATAGTCTATTAAAATACTATTTATTAAATTACGTTATAAGCTTTCATTTCTATTCATAAATACATATCGGCGAATCGACTTCAAACCACATTATTATAAAATGCTAACAGTAATATGTGTTTACTAGCTTTAACATTCGGCTGAAATTTAGAAATAATAACTTGCATTTATATTCAGCATGGATTAAAATACCACTGCGCTATCGTAGCACCCACTCACCACTTAAAGACGTCCACGCCAAGTAAAGACAGGCAGCGGTGTAAAGGTGGTAAAAGGGACCGCGCCGCGTAGTAGGATACGTGCGGGACTAGACTAGTATCACGTTGTATTTCAGTTGGAGTTCTTGCCAATTTCACTAGAGGCGTACCAGGGGCACCAGCACATACCAGCCAGGACACTCGTTCGCTTACACGAGGCGCGGACCGGCGGTCACGTGATATCAAGCGTCTGCAAAGACAGCGACGAAACCTGCCTTATTTTGATCGGGAGGTGTAAATTACAATGCTACAGCGGGCAGTGTTAAATATTCTGATTGTCCCCTTGAAATAAACGTTAAAACCCGATATATCTGCGATATTTCCTTTAACGTAGGGAATGTTAGATTACAGTTAAAGGTTCGAGTTATTAAAACCTTACAAACAGTTACGGGTAACCTTGTAAAATTTTGAAATATGTGTGCTTAACAAACTATAAAAATATTAGGAATGATTTTAGGTTATGTTTCTTAATATAATACAAGTCTCAATCAATGAATTCTTACTTTGCTATCTCATTAGGAGGTGCTGCAGCCGTTGGCCTATATCCAGAAAGCCCGTGGAACTCACGAGTGAAGAACAACTCGTGCGGTGGAAGTGAACCATCAGCCAATTTTGACAATACTTTACAAACCAGCTGCTTAACCCGAGACACATCTCCCGTTTCAAATAGCTCGCACAGTGACCGTTGCAGTAACTGCAAGGATATTTTTTCTTAGAATTCGTTGAAATTAGTAGATATTGAAAAGTTGTCGTAGAGGTTAGCTTTAAATTCTAAAATCTTAATTTTGCTTACTTATAGTTCCCCAATATCAATTACACGTTAATAATATAATGCCTATGAGTAAATAACAGGTTATTCATATAACGTTCGAGAGGCTAATATTATTTTAAGCAAACGACAATACAGGAAGATATTATGTTAACAGATTCTGTAAATTATACAGATTTTTAATACAAATATCAAAAATCATGTACATAACGTAATTGACGGATGGCATACTAAATTTTTTTGTCATGATACAATTCACTTAAACACCTTGACACTCGCTGGACAACCATCTCGACGGACTGTCTCTATGCCTTTTGCCTCGTAAATTGGTTTCTCCTGTTCTAGACTCTCGTACATATAGCCGACGTATCGTTTCTTAGTTTGAAGTATGCACGGTTGATATACCTGTAAGTTAAAGAAAAAATATTTATAAGCATTATCCATCAGTATAATAAAATTGTACGTATAAAAAATGTGTGGGTGAGAAATATCGTTTAAAATATTATTACGAAATTTATTTAATGTAGGTGTTATTGTGAAATTCTTTAAAAAGTTTGCTCATTCAAGTGCAAAAACTATCTATATTCGAACACTCCTCTTCTTCTAAGAATAGGCATTTTTAAGATACTGATCAAGCTATTGGCCCCATAGCTTGGTATTTATTTACCTTTTCCAGTTTAAGAGCAACTGGAGATGGATTGTCCGCGGTCACAGCATCGGCTATCTGCTGTCCAATTGCAAAGGCTTCGGCTCGGCTGCCGCCAGGAACTAGCACGAACATCGAATCTGTGTCTCCGTATATTACCTGAAACAGCAGAAAATAATTAAAGTATGGGAGAAACTAATTTTGAATATTCAATTTATGACATTATTTTCGTTAATAATGGCAACCCATGCATGTTGCCTATTTAAGTTCAGTTCAGTGATTTATCATTAAAAGTAACCTAATATAGTCTTTACCACAATCTCCATCAAAGATTATATCAAATGGCCAGCAGGCGCTAATTATACAGTTACAAGATAAATTGGTGGTGATCTTTTCCCACTTAGAAGCCCCTTTTTTACGATGAGATTAATAAAATGTGTAGCTTACCTTTGCATTCCAAGAGCCATTCTTTACTAGCTTGATAGCTCGTTCTAAAGTCTCGCGACCCTTTGCGACCACACTATCACCGACTTCAACACATGGCATACGTCCACTAAAGTTAGCAGCCGTATAACCGTATGTCACATTCGCAATTAATTTAAGACCTGAAAAAAACAACAAACACATATTAATAGTTGTCTTCATTGCATAAGCAATTCGTCCCTGTGACGCCTATCATATGTCCCAAAAATAATCGACCGCTGAAACGTACATACGTCTCGTTATACCGGTTATCAAAACTATTTTAGTCTTTAACGACTACCGCCCCTAAAATCCGTACTAATATTATAAATGCGACAGTAACTCTGTCTATCTGTCTGTTAATCTTTCACGCCAAAACTACTGAACGGATTTGAATGAAATTTGGTAAACAGATGGTTTAGACCCTGAGAAAGAACTTAGGCTACTTTTTATTAGCTAGAACAATGAATCTTTCTTCTTTAGCTTTTTGGAAATAGGAGTAGGAGTGGGAGTGGGAGTTAGAGTAGGAGTGATGTGAGGTGAGAGTGTTGCGGCAAAATAGCACTTACAGCATAGATTGGCTGCGACAAATGCGCAATTACATACATTAATAAACAGCCTAAATAATTAAAAATTCTACCCCAAGTACTATTTCACGCGAACGAAGTCGCGGGTACAGCTAGTGGCATATAAAACCGCAAATTGTAGCAGCATGGTGGGTCTTAAAAACCTCTATTATGCGAGCGGAGACTAAAGCCCTGCAGTGGCACAACAATATAGCTTTAAAGACAAATAAACTTACAGGTCTAAATAGGTAAATAAACAAATACTTGATAGTTACATACAAACTTAAAACACTCTGTGTTAAATATGTTGGCTGAAATAAAAATTACTAATATTACCACGTGTTTAACTTACCTAATTGTCTCGAATGCATTGCTTTTTTTACGTTTTCGTCCGTTTGTAACTTCATGCCTTTCTTAACGGCCTGTCTTGCAGCCAATATCCGTCTGAGTAATGAGGGTAACACCCCTCGACGAACATCCGGTTTTACGAAACCAACACCAACGGGTGACCAATTGATTAAGTCTTTTTGAGCTAATTCTTGCAATTTTGATTTCGATACTCGTAGTCGCCATGCGCCAAATTCGTAAGGTGTGTTGCTGGTAAAAGATTTGCATTTTTATATATGAATTAAAGATGGATTATAAAGTTAATTGAGGCAACCTAAGTTACACTTCAAACTTAGTCATTCAACTTAGTTCCATTGACGTATAACTAGCTGTGCCCGCGACTTCGTTTGCGTGGAATAGTGACTTGGGGTAGAATTTTTAATTATTTAGGCTGTTTATTAATTTATGTAATTGAGCATTTATCGCAGCCAATCTATGTTGCAAGTGCTACTTTGCCGCAACACTCTCACCTCACATCACTCCTACTCTAACTCCCACTCTCATCCCCCCCACCCAGTCCCGCTCCTATTTCCAAAAAGCCAAAGAAGAAAGTTTCGTTGTTCTAGCTTCAAAAACCACAAATTTCCATACAAACTTTCACCCTCCCTTTTAACCCCTTACTACCCCCTTTTCGCAATAAAAAGAGCTTTCTCAGAGTTTAAACCATCTGTGTACCAAATTTCAATAAAATCCGTTCAGTAGTTTTGGCGTGAAAGAGTAACAGACAGACAGACAGAGTTCCTTTCGCATTTATAATATTAGTAAAGAAGTGAGGATAAAAGCCTTCAGTACTCTCACTTGAAGCCATTACATACCAGTTAATATTTTGTATGCGACCAATACAAGTGGAGAAGCAATAGTTGTAAGCAATCATCATAGACGGGTATAGGCTCTGGAAGTCGAGGACAATCACGGGGTCGGCGTAGAACCGAGATTCTGAGAAATAAAATAATACTGTACAGTAAGACCAGTTCCCGAAGATTAAGTACCCAAAATAAGTAGCCAAGCCTTGACCAATTCATTGACCAGCAGAATCAAGCAGGTCGACAAAAATAAACAAAGGATATGGTATCGGTACCAGGAACATAGAAGTAAGTTATGGTATAAGTAATCATTCTCACTTCTTCTTTCTAATGTAAAATATTAATAATTCTTACCTGGTTCAAATATGAGGGGCAAACACTCGGGAGCTCGCATAGCGGCACGTTGCTTGATGGTCGGCGATAATGCGACTAAATTAAGAGGCCTCGCAGCCCGCAGCATGAGCGATTCAACGCGAAATTGCGATCCTCTCGATAACACCTCCCACCATTGTAGTCCAAATAACCTGGCTAACTCAGAGGTTCTATCTAATAAGAAATAATTGACTGCATATAATATTTGCTTCATAGCAGGGTGACACATCAAAGTAAACGGCAGAATTGTCTCGATTATAGGAACCTATTTTTTTTAGTACTCTGCAATCCATTAGAGTTTTTGAATGTGACGTTTTGGAGAAGTTATATGGTCCATTTCATTGGGATTACCAATCGTCGATCATTTTAGGTTATAAATACTGTGAGACTTACTTATGATATCAAGTTTTTCTAACATCCGCACCGTCCCCGATAATTTAGTCATATAATATTCAACAGGGATCCACCTCAGAATTCTGGACTTATCATTCCACCAATTTGATAGGTGAGCAAAACTATACTTCGGAACTCTTTCTTTTAATATTTCATACATGCAATTCTCAAAACTGTAACTGGAGAGCGCCAGCTCGTATCGAAACAGTTTCCAAACATTAAACGTGATTCGACCGATGATTCTACCCTCCATTTCGTTATCGTCGTGTCGCCATCTTTTTTGACGGTATTTTTCGGTTATTCGAGAAATTTGCTGAACTATTTCGACACCTAGATGTTGTGCTCTTTCCAAGACATAGCCCCACGAGTTCATTTCAATTTCATAACCGCACATAATGTCTGGATCATTTTCCTTAACAATACTAATTAATTTATCTAAAATCTCAATTTCGGTATTAACATACTCTATCTTGAATAAATCTCTATCATTCATAAAAATACATCTATCTAAATATTTAGGAGGCTCTTGATCATCGACAACTAGTATTCGATGTAAGTGTTTCACTAAAAAATGATTATCGGGACAATCGTTTTTCACAGATATAAAAATGGCTTTAATACTATCGAACTCTGGATCTGGGCATAGCTCCCCTCTTATTTCTGTGTGTACTTCCAATACCATCACAGTGAGAAAATCAACCTGAAAAAATTATTGAAAGTATTGCATAAATACCATGTAATTTAACCAACAAAAATAAAGATATAGTAGTGTCTCCATGAAACTTACCTCGACTGGGGACATATTCGTATTCGTGTCAATAACTTGACTTTCTGTACTACCAAAACAAAGATAGGAACCGTCTGTTTGCATAGTAACTTGGAAAGAATTTTCTAAATTAGGCTTCTGAAATAACTAAGGCATTAGTACGCAGTGGCACATCAATATAGGTTTAAAGACAAATAAACTTAATATGTAATATATCTAAATAGGTAATTAAACAAAATTATTTACACTACATACTTGATATTTACATACAAACTTAAGTTTCTATAGAAAAGTCATTTCATAAAAAATCAAATATATTTAAGAGGCTAGACACCAATTATTTACCTTTTCCTCTAAAGTCAAACTACTTATAAGATCATTTTCTTTTAAACCAATTCCTTGTGAAGCTTCAATATCATCTACATTAATAGTAATCTCTTTAATGTCAACAGTATTGCTTACACTATCTTCTTTAACTTTATTATTGCACCATTTTTCAACTTCCCTTTTTGTTGGGGGTTTTTTTACTGGCTGTATAATGCAGTTACTATTTCCAGCTAACAAAAGCTTTAAAGATTCTGTTTTTTTATTCTCTTCGCACACATCATTTCTCTGTAAAAACAATAGCTGACGCCACTCTTCAATAGTAGTAGAGCAGAATTTTTTTTCAAATAGTTTTTGATCTTGGGCTAATCTGCTCTGAACTTTTAATATACATTGACCAATCTCAACCTTATCGCCCACGTCTTTGTGATTGGAAAAATATGGCTCTGAATTCTTTTGCTTGGGTAAATTGTACTTTTTAACACTTGAAACTATATGTTTCTTAATAGGAGGGCGGATTTTGGGAGTAAGTATTAATCTATTTACATGTTTAAATTCAGATTCAAAATTATGGTTACCAAGGGACTCTTTTTGTCTCTCTTTTGTCTTTGTATCGCTATCAGTGGATAAATTAAAAATTTTAGATTGGTCGTAAAAACTTTGTATATCATTTTCATTGCTCTCGGGTGATGACTCAAAACTGTCGCTCAAAGGTGTAAACATTTTATTATCTTGAACATCTTTCGAATATTTTGAAGAACCAGGAATTGGTACAATTTTATTTGTTAAATCATAACAAGTAGGTGCATCTATTTTAGAAACTAAGCTACTTATGGATTCATGATCAGTTTGAGACACTCTTTCTTTACTGGTTTTTACAGTATCACATTTTATATTATTATTTATAGTTACTCCTGTCGTTACTCTTTTAAGATGTTTATCAGACACAGTATCAACTATTTCTCTTGATTCATTTATTTCTTCAGACTCATTTTCACTTTTGGTTTCCTTATTATTTTTCATATTGAACTCTTTTTTGTTTTTAGATTTCGATAAACCTAATTTTAGTGGTAACTTTTTTCTCTTTCTCACCTTTTTAACATCTAAAAATAAAGCATTTATAAATAAATGTTTTCAAATAATTTTACAAGACTTTTTACAAGCGTAACTTACGGTTGTCATCACAGGTACCATCTAGTTGTGGTATAGTTGCTTCATCCCAAAAAGAATCATTCCAATTTGGAGAATGCCCTTCACTGAAATACAATATGAATTAAATTTCGCCGGAATTTTTAGTTTATATATAAAGCGACGCCATACACGTTTCATTGCCTTAAACGACATACCATTTAGACTCCAAAAGAATAGTTTCATCATGGAAAACTTGGGAATACTCATCATCATCAAATTCCTCTTGTGTTTTATCAATCAGGGGTGTACCCATCACGCTATCTTCATCTATTGTTTCCTTTCTATCCATATCTTGTAATAAATCGATTAGGGCTAAATCTTCATTATCCACTGTAAGAACAAAATTTATCCAGTGTTAATTAAAAATACATATTTACCAACAAATCCTAATAACATAATAATTACATGCGACTTGGCTGTACTGAAGTGAAAAACTGCTGTTTAAGGCAATATCCTCATCAACAATAGTATCATCAGCCTCAATAATTGTTAAGCTTTCTCTTCTGAAGCTTTTATTAATACTCAAATTCATAGATTCTTCTAAATGTGTGGTTAAGTCTGTTGCATTAAAAAATTGTGATCCTTCATGACTTTCTGCTGGATAATGTACATTATCTATATTTGTCTCATGTTCAGCATCAGAATTACAGACTTTTGCCATAAATCCATTTTTGAACTTATGATGTGTTTCAGTTCCATTGTTAACTCTGTTTTGAGATAAAGTTTTTGATTCCATTGATACATTTAACTGTTTCCTTCTCATAATTTCTTGATTCCAAACTTCTTCAAGACCTGGATTTTCAATACCATCCCCTTTATTCATTCGCAATCGATTAATGATATGCGACGCAAAACAGTCTGCTTCATAATAACAAACACTCTCAGACTTCAGAGATAATTCATTCGGACTATCAAATGGTTCATCACTTTCTTGTAAAATAATTGACTTCCGAAATTTAACACTGTGCAAGTCTATATTGCTCATACCGAAAAGATTAAAATCAATAAAGAATTGCAATGTAAAGTTAAGATGTGACTCATGGGGTTGTAATACTTGTCCTAATATTGCACCATTACTACACAGTTCAACTGCTTGTTTGATTAAGCCTGGATTGTACAAAAATATCTTTAAAAAAAGATGCTCCTTGTCATGAAATCCATAAAAAGGTCTGCAAAAAATATAAACCCAAATTAAGATTTTTGCCAGATTAAAGTTAAAGGGTGGGGTAATTGAATGATAGAGAATTAAGAAAATAACACTAAAAACCAGACATAACTTAACTACATGCATTTACTTACATTCCTTTGACTAAAGTTATTTTATAAACATGCTGATTTACAGAAGTTGCCTGTTTTAATGCTATATTTAGAGCCTTATCCAGGCTTACAGCAATCTAGAAATATAAATCAAGGGTTATGCAGTATTGACTTATGTGCCTTAGTAGATAAAATTTTGAAAAATGTAGAATTAAGGACCTCATAAAAGTTAAAATATATGTACTTACTTGATAAAGAAACTGTGGTTCTGGATTTGAAGTGGGGCATGGTATATAAAAATAAGGAAAAACTCCATGAACATGAAGACATGCTTTTCGCCCATCCAATGCTGATCCAAATATTCTTAGCACTGGTACCTAAAGAAACATAATATAATGTTAAAAGTAGCAGAAACTTATCCATAACTGTTCATAATACTACAATACTATAATTACCTGTTTTATATCAGTACCTCTGAATTCAGAGTACATAACATCAATACCTGGCATAGGCTTTGTTAAATAGGAATCACATACAACTATTCTAACTGAAAATTGGGGCTTTAAGTCCAAATAGGCTGAAAAAAATTGTAATTTTAATATACCACAACTATGACTAACACTTTGACCATCTCTGTGGTTCAAATGTGAGAACTCCTAGGTTCGGGTATTGGAAAACAATGGTTTAGGTGGCCACTACACAACAACCTGATCAGCTTACATATATTAGGGTTTAATTATTAGTATTTATGTACATTTTGCTGATATATATATATATATATATATATATATTATTATACCAATAATATTGTTTACCTGTTAGGTTATTTTGCGCATTGGAATAGCGGTTTTCTGGCCCTGAATTCATTATGATTTTATTTCTACTAGTAGTAACAATTCTAACCTATCATGGTTATTATAAACAGACGGGAAAGTTAAAATAAATACGATATCCTCCCTTTTTCTATTGTCGTAATAACTTTGAAGTAATTTATTTACATTTTACGGAGTGATGAAAACCATCATTATGTTTATTTACATCTGCACGTTTGACAAATCTATATGACTTAACGTGAAAGCCAATTGTAAATTGTCAAATTTCGTAAATCGTCACGAAATCTTTTCATCGTTTTGACAATTAATTTTCGTTGTATTAGTATATTCACTATATTCTTTGATTAGTATTCATTGACATTCACTACGAATTCAATATCATTCTTGGCAATATTTGAGAAAGAAAATTAAAATTGTGATATTAACAAACTAATAATCGTTGACGTGAAATTAATTGAGTTTATTTTCATATTGTTAATAAGATTGGACAGTCGTCGGTTGTGTTTAAAAATGAAAGTCGTAAATAATTTAAATTTCGCAAAAATTGGTACAAAATCAATGTAAAATGTCGATATAAAATAGAATAATATATCGAAATCTTAAACAACATATGATAGAGGATGGATGATGAGGAAGCAGATTTGCGCGAACAAATATTTCATAATAATGTTCGGGAGCAAATTGTAGGTGCCGTTTCTTTGTATGTTTATTTATCGTGTGTAAACATGTGTAAAATAATATTATAATGCCATTGTTCTAGATATTCCTGCTTTTGTTTATACTGCTTTACCTCTTCTCGTTCATGTTAATTGAAAAATTTCGACGGCGAGACAGCGAGGATTATTTTACAGCAGACGAAGATGAGGTGAAGGTTTATCGCATCAGCTTGTGGCTCTGCACGTTTGCATTGGCCGTGTCATTGGGTTCAGCACTCTTGTTGCCTGTATCAATTGTCAGCAATGAAGTGCTTATTTTGTATCCCAAAAGTTATTATGTCAAATGGCTAAATAGCTCTTTAATACAGGGTAAGATATTTTGAAATCTTTATCATTTTCTTCTACAAAAGCTTAGTCCATACAACAGGTATACTGTATGCTTGCTTTTTAATTATTTACTAAAATAATATAAATATGAATTAGTTTAAATTGCAATGATATCCAAATAATCTGTTTATACTTTTTAGGTTTATGGAACCATGTATTTCTATTTTCAAATTTGTCATTGTTTGTGTTCCTGCCATTTGCCTACTTGTTTTCGGAATCAACTGGATTTCCTGGATGCCGTGGGCTCAAAGGCAGGGTGTATGAAACATTCATAGTTTTGATTTTACTTGGAATTGGCATGCTGGGACTAGCATATGTAATATCTGCGTGGTTGAAGGGTGACCGTTCTGGCATAGACGCATTACTTAGTAAGTAAATGTATTATGAATATATTTATAACTGCTATAATAGAAATGGTTGGTCGGCGAGCTTTGGATTCCCACCACAAGGATTCAACCCCTAATGTTTAACAAACATTTAGAACAACATGTAGAATTTTTTTGATGTTTGTGTTAGTTGTACTCACTGTTAGAATATCTTTTGTATTAGTTATGACTCTGCTTATTAAAATTGTTTCTATACAAATAATCCCAATATCGATACACAAGAACATTCTTTAAAATATTTTCGTATGGAAAGGAAAGTCTATTCATTTGTCTGTAAAATATTCCCTTATCATAAACCAGCGCATAATACATACTTTAATAGTAATCTGATGGACTGGAAATTAGAGTATGTTTAATATCTAACAGCTAAAGCCACTTTTAGTTTTTAAAAAGTATACAATTTGTAATCAAATCATGAGTTTGATCAACAAGTGGTATCACATTCCCTTTAGATATAGGGTTCGAAAGTCCTACTTACTAGTATTACTTAGATCTCCTTCATAATGTTATTCGCTATTATATTACTCATATTAAACTTATTACAAAATGATAGATAAAGTACAAATCCACATCATATCCACATTCCTTAAATGTTCAGTTTTTACTCTCTTTTATGCTGACAACCACTTCTACTCTCTAAATAGGCATAAATGGAAACTTCTGGAAATTCTAGTTTTTCATGTGTATATATCATTTTTAACGTAAAAATTTATGGTTAGTGTAACTTAGCTGTATGTTACATTATTATGGCCCGCGGTCCGTCGATCGGTAGAGTTATTTTAAGTTAAGATTGTCTAATCTTCACACTTTGTTCACAGATCTATGGACGTACCTACCGTTTCTATATTCATGTGTTTCATTCGTCGGCGTATTGATGTTGTTAGGTAAGTTTTCTTGTTGAACGTTTGCGTGTTTTTAGATAGAGGTTTAATATAACGGTTTGACCCCATTTTCAAAATCATTAACACTGTCCGATTGTTACTTAATTCTTATCCAACATGTTCTATCGTATCGCGTTTACCACCTTTGATAATGATAACGATTACAAGGCTGAATAGTATTGAAATTAATTATATTTCAGTTAATTAACAAAAATGTATAAAACTAAAAATATAATTTCCAAGGAATTACTCCTCTTCATCATCTAAAATATTTTGTCGTTTATCTAAAAAATATTTTATGAGATCGTCATGCTGAGGAAACATTTCGTAGAGCTCCTTTTTGCATTCCTCCAGTTTGTCCAGCTCGTCCAACTCCTTATGGGCTTTCGCCTTATAGAGTCGTGCTTTAAAGCTTTTCTCGTTCAGACGCAGGGCCCACTCGCAATCGCTGAAAACCTGAAAGCGTGTATTGATATTATTTTAAACAAAACCATAAAAACATTGTCCCTGACCTAAAATGCTTTTTCAATTCCAATTTATTTATGTAAACAATCATCTGCGCAGCTTGTTTCCAAAGGTGAACGTAATGCTAAAGAGATAACCATAACAGATAGTATACATGCACATATCAACGTAATGCATTATATTAGATGATTCGGGTCGAGTTGGACAAGTCTCAATTTGTTTAAATTAATGAAATATTAAACTTGTCCTATTCCAGTTTGCCTATCAACTAAACAATACATCTATATAATAGTATCGTTTCATTTAAAGTCTAGGTCTAACACTTTAGCTTACTAATTTTTATGATTTTGTTGAAAAATATCTATACGACTAATAATTACTAACATAACATAACATTAGACCAAGCATTCTCAGCTAGAAATATTTGATTTTTTTTCACATTCATGTCTTTGATAATAAACTTCTATGTTAAAAATGTAATATCTACATCTACATGTGTGTAATGTTTCGCGATCTTGAACTCGTTAATAAAAAACTTTCACCTTATTCAAAGTTACGTCTGCCAAAGGGCTTAGCAAAGACTTAGTATACTTCTGTACGTATTTTTAACAAACTTACACATTTTATAAGAACGAGTCAGACCACCTGAACTGAGCATTATCGACGCGGAATTTGTAATTTGAGGACGATGACCTTAAAACGATTACCTTTTCGTAATGTCCGAGTTTGATGTTCGTTAACGCCCGGTCACAGTAGAGCATGGGGTTGTCTTTGACGTGTTCTATGGCACGGTTGTAACACGACAGGGCCTTGTCGTATTCCTCTCGCCGGAACGCTTTTACTGCTAGGTTTTTTTGTGTGTCGGCTTTTTCCCGGCGAATTTTGCGGTCGAGCGCGCGACGCTCTGCATCCTTACTCACTTCGGCCATCCACGCGTCCTTATCGATTTCACCCTTGCAATTTTAAAATAAATAGTTATTTATATGTGAAACCCCATCAGGCCTCATCAGACCTTGGGGCAGTCTATCTCACTGATCAGATTTGTGTTTCGTCCATACTTAACGCAATGCTAGACCACTTGTCTGACAATTAGACAGTTAAGCAGAGTTTAGATTTAGTGGAAAATTATATCTTTTATTTCCATGACGTTTATTAATAACTAGTTGTGTCAACGACTTCGTCCGCGTAGAATATTTATTTTTGGCATAAAAATTAGTTTTTACAAACCGCCTGTAAATGCAACCACCTGTATATTATGTTATCCACGACGGCGTCCGCGTCCGCGTAGTTCATGCAAGTCAATCTAATAGACCTTTACTGTCGCGAACATTTTTTTAAACTATTTGAATAGGAATCATTTTTTCATACATGTTTTTGGGTACGTAGAACCGTTTTCACAGCGTACGCATCGGAAACCCAGAAATATTATTTTTTTTGTTTTCCGTTTCTTCCACAATTCGCTCCTATTAGTCACAGCGCAATATTTTATACCCTATAACCTTCTTCGTTAAATACTCTAACCAACACAAAAATAGTTAAACAAACTGACTCATCAGCTTTATATATTAGTATAGATATAACTATTAATACACAAATCAATACTTTCGCCTAATGACTTTTAGTAGTAATGGCATTCTTAAATATTTCGTTATGTAAAAGAATATTTTTTTATCAGTGTTTCTAAAAACTTAGACATAACTGTTATGATAAGCTTCGTAAGTAATTAACAAAAAACTTTCTTTAGTGTTCCCAAATAGATATGCTAGATATTTATAGCGGTACACGAGCCAAATTGCTTTCACCATTGAAATATCTTTTGTTCTATTATTAAATGAATTTATAGGTGCAGTGAGTTTGTATGTTGAAATAGTTACAGAATTCTATAAGTATCAAGTCTATATTCCTAATATGTATAATTTTATTGAGAAACTGTTGTAAATATTGTTAATAACACATTTGTTAATAGAGGTAAGATAGGAGAACACTTCATTTTATAATTAGGTATTGTGCAACGGTGCCGATAACCTATTTTGTTAGTGGTACTAACAATTATAGGTTTTTTGTTTTCGTGTATAAATTAAAAACGATGGTCTAGTCTTTTCAATTTCCTTAAAGCTAAACTGATACGTATAAAGAAATACCCAGCTTTCATTTTGATGATTTAAAAAATAAAAATTACCGTATCCTGCTTTTCGAGAGATCGAAAAGCCTTTTGGTTAATTACAGTTCGATCTTCTTTTATCGTCATCTTCACATCATCGATATTTATTTCTTTCCCTTCTAAATATCGATCAGCCAAAACCTTGGCTGCATCTGACTTTGCCTTATCACCGCTCGCAAGATCTTTGACTATAGTAGATACTTCCCCAATTCTCTTGGTAAAATTGGACCATTCCTCATTAAGTTCAATGCTCTTTTGGTCTTTCAACGCTGGGTTTGCTAAAATGCCTTTTCGGCTCATTATGATAAAACAACGCAATATAAATTCTTAGTGATTAGTTGTGTAGACTGATATTTTGATGTAACGTAGTAACCGTTGCCAAGCATACGATCTATTGACTGACAGAGGGGCGACGAAGGAGATTTTAATATGATTTTGATTTATCGGTGGTCATAAAATCTTTTATCATCATGATAGTTACCATGAGCTCAATTCCTATGTTTTTTTTTTACAATAAGAAGGATCTAATTAGTTAGTAATCAAAAACGCCCGATTGGTGTTATTAGATTCGGCGTAAATATGAACTATACCTCTAAATAATTTAATTTTTGTAGTAATGAGTAGTAAATAGCTCTATTTTATGTACGATTTTAAAAGATAATTAGATAATTGTATCGCAACCTTAACGAGACGATTAATTGTAACGGCGGAACAATTGCGAGAACTGTTTTCGAAATAAACAATAAACAATTTCAAAAGAGAAAACAATTAGCATATAAAGAAATACACGTATGTACACGAAGAAAGTTTAGTACTATAATTATAGTATTTGCAATGCGTCATGTTAATAATAAAAGTCAAAAATAACGCTGACCGGTCGAAGATTTTTTTTTAACGCACAGCTCGCGAACCATGTATTTGAGGGTTTATTTAGGCGCTCAATAAATAAACCTGAAATCCTATTATGCTATTAACATGTTATGTATATAATTAATTGTATACAAATTAAATATATGTTCTTTAAAAAGCTTTCACTTCAAGGAGCTTGGTCATACCTGTCCTAGGTTATTAGACACTAACATAAGATAAGATGATGTATGTTATTTTTCAGTATTTACGCCCCTGGGTTTCGTGAGACTTTTCGGTGTTGTTGGAGGCGTGCTCGTGAAACCGCAGTTCTTAAGAGATCTGAATGAAGAGTATTACGTCTGCTCATTTGAAGAGGACACAACGAGAAGACGCATTAACAATTCACTGGGTACAGGTTCGTAGTTCAATTATTTTGACTTCCGAGAAATAAATATTTCTAGTATTTATATTTGAGCAGTATTATCGTTCTGGTAATATTCTGTATTAAAATTCAAATTCGTTGCAGTCTGGGGTTTATGTTTGAAAAATGAGGTTTAGATTGAAACATTTGTTTGCTATTCTTTACTAAGATACATATTGTGGAAAGGTATACTTAAAAGTTAAAAGATATTGACTATGTATATACAATTTCCAGTAATAAAATTGATCACGTGCTAGGTGCATGAAAAGGATAACGCGCGACATAAAAAAGTAAATATAAAAATAGTGTGAAGTAATATTAAACAACTATTTCGTCGCAAATCACAATGTTCTATCAAATCCATGCTGTATTGAATACAAGGTCGTCGTCCGAACTAGCAATACGTACTGACGTGGAACGTATTATTTGAATAAGACAATTGTTATTCTGATCCACCCATTTCGTCTATTTTTAGGAACGACTCCCCAGTAAATATTTCACTGGTCCATTAGGAGCTACGATTGGCTTTACGAGTGCTGTGTGCGGTCTATTTCCCCTGTATATCTGATATTACGATACATAGTAGACTTCAAATCCACCACGTCTAAAGTCGACGTTGAATCTATGGTTGAAATATACAATTCCGTGTTTACGAATCATTAATGATAAAAGCCATTTTGCTTTTGAAAAATGGGCCGACACCACATTATACTTCTGTTTTTTAAAGCGGGACCATTTCACAATAACTTCAACGAATTTTATCATCTGTCATAAAGAATATTAGCCAGCTGGTCTTAATCTTTCAGCTTATTAGTTGGATTTGGTAACTTCCGTGCGCCCCAGTAATTGGGCTGACCTCCACTAGTTCTGACCTTCGTAATGCTTGATCTATCAGTGTTTACATGTAGATAATATGTGCATATGTATTTTGGATACAAAGTAATGCGCATATACAATATTAATCGTAGCGTGTAAGAGCTGGAAGCGTCTCTAGAATACACTTTGGTTAGTAAAGACTAAAGATGACGCCTAAGTATGTTATAATGTAACTCCTAGTAATTTTATTATTTATATAGAATCGTAATATAAAACAACTTTTTTCTTCAACTAAAAAAGTCTTATGATTCGAATAAAGTAATGTCTGGTTTCTTGGTTTATAGAATGAGATATTATATAAATCTACCTCTTCAAACGTTATTGACAGAAAAGGGTCCTGCAGAAGATTTTGGCTTTGTAAATTTTTTACAATGGCCCGTTTGTACAGACGCACCTGGTCCGTTACCAGGTGGTCGTGAACAGTGAATAATAGCAAAAACGACAAATTAGATGTTGCATGTTTTTCGTGCATTTTTAATTAAAAATTATAAATATTTTATGATAGAGGAAGACAGACAAACATAGGGTTCATTTGATGGTGAAATACCACACCCAGCCACATAACATCAAGTCAAGATGCACTGTCTACCTATTTTGGGTTTGGATATTCGGATATCCACAGATTGAACAAGAACTTCTCGCCTTTTTCATCTATGGTCTTTTCGATATTCCTACCACTTATTAAATATCCAGATTTCCAGACGAATTCCAACATTTTTCCGAAAAATTATAAATAAATTTAATTAATGTTGGACCCGGTGGGGATCGATCTCTCGACCCGTTGATTTATTAGCCACACATTGCTACCAGTACAACAACTAGCCCGTTAAAATATCTTGAAAAATCATCTAACGAATGCAAAGGAAATGTGTGCATGCTTTAAGGTTCTTTGACCTAGCTAGAAGCCATAAAATTTTATTTAAAACACTCATATATACTTAATGTTGATGAATAAACATTCTTTAACATAATATTTTTCGCTATTATAGGCGCCAGCTACATATCGCCGGAGCCGATGTGTCCAGACCGGGGAGATATTTCGGCGCCTTTAAACCTCAGTACGTCTGATGTCAAGGACAGTAAGATTTTTCAAGCGGATGGCAAAGAAATACCCCTTCTGCGGCTCAGGAACGGTGCCTTACAAGTCGGTCTCAATGAGAGATTGCAGAGGATTGTAACCATGAGAAAGGTAAAGTAATAAAAATAGATATTAACCTTACGAGAATATGGATGGACTACGTAATAACTGACACGTCCAAGCATTACAATATAATAATAAAAAGGACATGTTTTATTTTTGTACAAATCAACAGCGATACATGAACAAATTACATTCAGTTGAAAGGTCAGATTTTTAGGTTTCGGCCTTGATATATTAAAAATTTATTCAATATGTTAACACTTATACTCAGACGAATTTATTATCCTTTCTTTCTTTTATAAAAAAATATATCTTACGCCACTTCATTCGCGTAGAATAATTATATTGGGCGTCATTTGTTTTTTCAAACCATAATCTTTATAAATTATAGCCTTATATACAAAAAATATGTATGAAAGAATGATTCTTCTTACATGATTTTAAAAAACGTCCACGACTGTGTATGTCTATCTTTGAATATTAACGGACGGACACAATGTCGTCACGGGTAACAGCTATAATTCACAAACCTGAGGTTGTTTGCAAAAATAAATAATATGTTGCCCAAAATATACCACGCAGACGAAGTCGCAAGTACAGCTAGTACATACTTGGAAACATAATTGTTCACTTATGGCCCGGAGTGGGTTTGCTACCGAATAAATAAACAAACATAGCTACTATCATTGTATGTTTTTAGTTACTTGGAACGACAATAAATTATCCATTAATGGTTTTGTCCCTTATCTCAAAAAAAAACATAATTAGCCGCTGTGTCTATTTCTGACGTTGATAGACAGTGTGCGTTGTTTTTTGTTCGCAGTGAATTTACGTATAATTTTGTATGCATAATATTTTCAAATGCCACTTTTTGCTATGTTTTTTCGAGTATTACGTATAGGTAAATGCTGTTGTTACCTTGTCTCATAGTTATTTATTACAACAGGAAATTCTCAGAAGTACTTAGCTATAATAATTTGTTGAAATAATTTTTTGTCAAACGTAATAAGTTTTCCCAAGAATAAAAAAATGTACGACTATAAAACTTATCGTATACTGTATACGTTTAGTATTGGAGCGTGTTAAATTGTAGGATTATTAAATATACAATCACTGATACGTAAGGCTTGACTGTGTCATTTGAATTTAACCTACATATAGTTATGTCTGCTAATTCACGACTCGGCAACATACCACCGACATTCCGTTGTAATCTATAAAAAGACCCAAATTACCTTTGAAAAATCTACCTGGGTGTTAGTGACATAAGCAATGTTACCACGATACGCCTGGCCATGCCGTTGTACTGCAGCAAATGCGATTAATGTTCCCTAATTTTTGTATTTTTTTTATTAAACCTATTGTTACAGGAAGTCGAGAATAAACGTAAAACATCATCGCTACAACGAAACGTGGTTTACCCGCTTGCAATGTTGTTGCTATTGGCCCTCACCACGATAACCGTTCTAATGGTGCTTCAGAATACCCTGGAACTCCTCATAGGGATCAAAGCATTGCCCTTGAGCACTCGAGTGAGTAACAGTAATTTCTAGAAATGTTTAAATAAAACACTTTAACGGTTTAAAACGCGATATATTAGTTAAACTTATTTGGAAATGATTTTTAACTTCGGCCCGACGTTTCGGATGCTTTGCAGCAGCCGTGGTCACGGGGAAACCAAATCATTTCCAAATAAGTTTAACTAGTATATCGCGTTTTAAACCGTTAAAGTGTTTTATTTAAATGAGTACTACTCGCGTAAACTATAGACAGTATTCTAGAAGTGTATTTATAACATTCAATTCTAACTAATAAACGACAGTACATTCTAATATACAATTTCAGTAAACGAATCATACCAGTAGTACTTCTGAATACTTTAATTAACTACTATTTTAATCAGAACCAATCATTCATAGGTATGGATATTTTTTGTCTTATGTATACTTATTGTTTTTAGTGTAATATATGTATTCGTTCGTTAAGGTATTCTAAGTCATTGTCGCATTTCGCCTATTATAGCACTTGATATCTGTAACTAAGCAAATACCGTTAGAAAGCGATATTTTTCACATGTAATTGCACATGATGGCACTATTTAAATTAAAAATCATGTGCATGTATCAATAGCACGGTAGCTAGATTGGTTAGAGCAACACGGAATGCTGTGTATGCCGGTTCAAGTCTTGCCCGTGTCGTAATTTTCTTTCAATTTATAATTTAAATATAATGAATTGATTTAGGAATATATATATTAATTAAATTTTTTGTTTGTTTTTACAGCAATTCACGTTAGGTATCGCGTCTTTGTCGAAGCTCGGCTGGGCGGGTGCGACCCTTGAAGCCTTTCTAATACTATATCTTCATGCGGCATCTCTCACCGGCCTGTGTACTCCGATGCGAGCTCTGCGTGTTCTTCCTCGCGCAAGAAGAACTCCACTGACTCGTATTATAGCGTTGTGTGCTGTACTTCTAGTGCATTCTACTGCACAGCCCTTACTAGTTAAGATTCTTGGTAAGTTTAGTAAGATTAGATTCAGATTTTGTACTTTTGTCAGTCAAAGAAATATGTGGTACGAAATTTTAGTGATAACTCAAAAAAACTTAAGGTACTATATAGGAAAGTTGCGAGTTTTGTAGTGGCAGTGAAAAGCGTTGCTAAAAAAATACTTTTATTGCGGTTTGACGTGACTATCTGATGCTAGCAACTTAGTATTTCAAAACCATCTATTTGATGGGAGTCGGACGTGGGTAATCCCACTTATTTACAAAAAAATCATATCATTGCTTGTACATTTTTATAACCACTTTGTTACAGGTATAACAAACTTCGATTTACTTGGTGAGTTCGGCCGTATAGAATGGTTGGGGAGCTTTAAACTAGTACTGCTTTACAACGCGATATTCGCATCCACTGCCAGTCTATGCCTCATCAATAAGTTCACGGCCAGTGTTCGTCGAGAACTGTACAACAGGTTGGTCGAAAACGTCAATACGGTCGCACATTGCGTGTCTTTCCTCAGTAACTAAAAATTGGACTAAAGAATTACTAACCCTCATGCTCATCAAAGTCTTATTAAAACCATCCCGTTTGCTTTGTTGAAATTTAAAAACAAAATGGACGATAGAAAATAATATATCTGGTATTCACAAAATTTCATATGGTTTTTTAAATATTATTACACAACTACCGCTTTAATTTTTTGCTTAAGCCTGTACGCATTTGAAAGAGAATGCCCTGATTTAAATACAAATAAATTCGTGAACATGATAGCTTTTTTGGTAATATGTAAGTCCAGCTAAGCTTAAGAAGTTCTACGTTATTCTCTAGGTACCAATGTCTAATGTTGCTTTCATGTTCTGGCTATATTTGTACAATTGTAACCTGTGTAATATAATGTCATCGAATATTAAACACAATACACTGCAAAAACAGAGACAGCCACGACACGGTACATAACATTATCGGTAAAATCACAGCCAGAATTATATTTTATAAATATAATTCTGGCTGGCCTTAATAAGTACTTTATTAGGGTAAATTAGTATAAAAATTACCTATTGTCAAATGCCATAATATTGTATTTCTTTAATAAGTAAGCATTTTATATGCTAAGTGGGTAACCCCTTAATTATTATGTAATATTTAGAAACTTCTTGCATTTATTCGACATTTGAATAAGGTGAAATTGTAGAATTCGTTATTGGGAAAGACATAGTTCTTAATTTTTATTACCAATGAGACTGAATTTGTGAATTAGTTACAACAAATTATATTTTGATATTATTTCCTCTGTGTATATATGTGACTTTGTGTTATGGTTGGAATGTATTTTATTTAAATGCGACATGAAAATTGATAATACTTTAATTATTCGCCATTGTAATTTTAAAAGACATTTTAAGACTGCTATTTTTATTTGCTCATTGTTTAGAATACACATTTTGTGTAATGCATTTATTAAAATGTATGAATGATGAAATATGTTTTATGGCATTGGTTATGTTCACTTTCTTGGTACATCACAAAATATGTGTGTAATTATTAATTTGTATTTGTAATAATATCTCACATATAATTTAGAGGACGTCCCTGCTCTGTAGCATACCAGGTAAACATTTGCTATTTTAGACAAATAACTTAATCTGAATATAATCATAGTATGCTGCTGCAAAGAAGTAAGAAAATAATATATCTAACTTTGAAATATACTATCCATAGATTTAGATTATACATAAAATACATTATTTATATAAATAATTAGAGGCTTTCTTCAAAAATTGTCTAGTCTTTAGATCTCCGAAATTGGGTAAGTGCTATTATGTACATTTTTCTTTTAAAAAATTCCCACATAGCACATTACATACACTTAATACACAACTTTATATACTGTGAGTTATTCAAAAAGAAATACATTCTACACAATGTACTAATAATAGTACATAGGAATATGTTCGGTCATTTACTCAAAAAATTCACTGCCTTAATGAATTCTTTGTAATTGTGGTTTATTCAAATCTACAAGCAAAATATACACTTATATATTCATAAAAATGTCATACTTTCCTTGACGTTGCTTTACGCGTGGAATGTATTTTACTAGTTCAAATATTTGTTTGTTGACATTTTGGATATATAAAAGGGATATAGTGATATTTGCAATGTATTAAGATTGGTACTACACGTAACATCATTAATTCCACATTTAATTTCTTCCACATAATTTAATTCATAACAAGCTTAGTAAGGTATTGCTCTGCTATTTTCATAATATAAAAAAAAACATATTTAGTTGAAGTTTCACACACTGCTTTAACTGTAAAGTTAAATAACACTATTTAACTAGAACTTTAAAATATATTAATTAGTTATGTGGTGCTAGATGAATAATTATAAAAATAGTAAAATTAAATTAATCACTACCTAGTACCTACAATATTGAGAAAATATTTATAGTTACCTGAGTGATGTGTGTAGTGTGAAACATGTTGTGTGATTACTGATTTTATATCTTTATATTATCCTGTACCAAATGTTGAGATTGCATTTGAAATAATATTACATTAAAAATATAATTGCGTTTTTTATTTCTCTACTCCAGCTAATTGCTTTGGAAATAAACATTAAATTATAGCCTCCATTGCTTAAATTCATTGGTCATTATTCTGTTTCTTTGGTAAAAATAAATAAATTATAATTATTGTAACATGATATCAAAGATAATAATGACATAGGTATATTTCTAATAACTTTGAAGTTACTCAAACCACTTTCTCATTGGTTTGTTGATTTCATTAGAAAGACTTAAGATTTTGCAATGCTCTAGAATCATGCTTTGATATGTCAGCTCATTCTCATTATCATTTTATTTAAATGAACTGTAATATAAATTTGTATAGATGTCTAAAAAATTTTCAGAGTCAAATGGATAATTGACCTTTTTACAATAACTGAGGATGCACCACCAAGTTCAAGGAATTCCAGACATTCAACTGAGCGTTCTATTACTGAAAAGACTGAAATATATCCAGGTAATTTAGAAAAAAGTAAAATATTGTAAGTAAAGTATTGATGTGCATATAAAGATTAGTATTATTAAAGTACAAATCTTTCTTATGAGAAATATTGCAAAGATATAGCCATTTTTTTTTCTTTCAATTAAATAAAAAAGTTGTTTTACTTTAATTACCTACCTACCTACTTATTATAGCAAAATGATGGCTTGAAAAACATTTAAATAAATAATATTTTAATTGCTGTTTTTATTTTCATCAATAACTTCCACTTCCATATAATGCTTCCCAAATTTTCTTGCTTTTGCTTTTTGAATAAGTTTACAAGTGTTACTGCGTATAGTTTCTAAACTCTCATTACTGCTAAGGCCAAATATAAAACCAAGGTTTATTACATCTTGTACACTTCTTACTTCCATAGAGTTTTGTGCAGAACTTGTAATTATTATGTTCTTTGATTTACCCACTGCATGATAATTATGAGCTGTACTTATTATATTTTTCCTTGCTGTGGCATCTCTAATAGCTGGAGAATACATTAACTCAAAAAATAAACCTCTCTCAACCGCTTGTCTATAGAGTTTACGGCTTACTTTGAAGGGAAGCCTACTTTCAGGTTCAAAACTTATTATATCAACATCCATTGTTCCACATGCATATTGAAATGATTGCAAAGTTTTGGGAACAACTGCAACGATGTCGTACTTCTTTAAATTTTCTGATTTATTCATTTTAATAGCAACATTGGAATCCGAAAAATCTATAGTAATTCTTTGTAATATATTCAATTTTGAAATGTTGGAGTCTTTCGTAATATCAACAGGTGGAGGTATAAAGTCTTCCTTTTCCTTTGATTCGCCTTTCTTTTTCTTCTTTTTAGGTTCATCGTCGAAATCTTCGATGTGAGTGTTAAGGGCTATAGTATTAAAGCCCAACCTTTCGAATAAATAAATCTTATTAATATCATAGTCTTTATTGACACATAAATCACAAAGACCCCAATCTTTAGAACTCATGATACGCCGGTCTACTCTTAAGCCCACTTCTTATGTTATTATCTGCTTTGAAATGCAAGATAATGTTTTGAAAATTAATATGCTTAAAAATGTGTAGTGTTTTGTTACTCTAACCTCAAAATTTGATTAATTGACAGTTGTCAGTTTGTCATAAATGACAGATTTATTTTTTTAAGAATCGAGTCTTATCACATTTCACGTCGATGGTATAATAATTATAAAAGAGACTTTGAGGTGACGGTAACGTTTTCGTCACTGTCCTTTAATATTTTCACTCTTATAAGTAAAGATCTTTTCAATGTTTTGTCAAATTTGTACCAAATAATAGTGAGACACCTTTTATTGTTTAATTGAGTTAGATTACAATTATTATTGGACATGATCTTAGTTCATTAATTCCAAATTGTGGAAGTGAGTTTTACAATATGGTTGCCCGTATTATAATTGCTGGGGAATCGCAATGTAATACTTTTGCTGAAATTTGCTTTATAGCAGATTACCTCTCGAAAAATTTACCCGATTTTTGCTATGATCGTATAGAGAAACCAGTACTAGATTGGACAGTATGTATTTTGAGACCATTCTTATTGTTACGTTAAATATTATATACAATTTTGATTTGATATCTATAGGCCTGGCTATTTAAGACGAACCAAAAGAATAAGTGGCACCATACTAGTTCACCTCTAGTATGGAAAGAATTATTAACAACTGGAAGTAAACCCTTCTATATCGGTGGTGCTACAGAATTTTTCGATTACTGTTACTCATATTTTAAATTGGACGTTTTTATGACACCAGCAAGATATGAAAACTTAGTTTCGAACTACAGACAGTACAATAAAAAAATTAAACAAGAATTAAAAATGAAAACAAAACTCGATCTTGAGTTCCAGATCAATGAAAATAAAAATAAAAATTGTTTTAGCGTATGTATATCAGGAGCTGGTAACCCAATCACTATGCATTTAATTTCAGGGTTATTAGAAATGAGTTCAAACGATAAAAATATTTTTAAAGTTTATATATACGGTAAATGCTCGCCGTCATTTTTAGAGTCAGTTGAACGTGAATGTAGTTATATTGGTACAAATTATGCCACAAAAGTATTAAAATACGTTGAAAAAATTGGACTTGCATTGACCAATACAGATATATTAATTATACTCGACCATATACCTTTCAGGTAAAAACTCAATGTAATAGTAAGTTTTTACATTGAGTTTTTGACTAACGATCAAATTGCATAGTTCATATAACTAAACAACATATTGAATCCTTCTTTTCAGTGAAGATCAGGCAATAGGTGATTGGTTACACGACAACAAAAAACTAATGCAAAAAATTGCTTTAATGATAAACGCATCTGCGTCATCAAAAATGAAAATTATTTTGCCTAACTTGGGTCCAGCTTGTTACAACGCAACAGTTTTATCACAATCTTTAACTCATATAAGTAAACATAATATTATTGTAGCTACATCTGATTTAGGCATGGAAGTAACTCCAATCATTGCGAAAATGAATGAAATACCAATGAGAAACATATTCTGTCCTCCCGTTTGGGGTTTCGTTGGTATTAATCATTTAATTGATATAAATAACACAATTCATCGATACGACGCCTTTGAACCTTATGAAAGATACAGAAAAGTTAGAAATTCCAGTTTATGTATTGGCACTTTGACACCGGAAATGAGAACGATGGAATATTTAACATTCTTTGATGAATCTTTGTGGGTCAAAGTTGCAGAAGAAAAGGTAGACTGACGATGATAAAATATGATTTGAAACCAATTCTATTCAAACGACGCTATTTAATTTCAGGCTAAGTTAAATGATGGAGCGTCTCTTAATAAAAGTGTAGCTATCTTATATTTATTACAAACATGGCTGAATGAAAGTCCTGATGAAATAGTGACCATCGGGATTCACTGTGACGGTATTCTGTATAATTTCATAATTTAATGTTTTCCATAGCTTCTATTCATATACTTTACAGTACAGTACAGTACTTTGCTTACTGTTTTTTAATATTGTATTTTTAGCTGTGATGTTTACTTTTAGGAACGTTTGGGTTAGACTTTGATGGCTATTTTTCACAGCCCTGTCAATTCATAAATGGGCGATGGAAACCATTCAAAAATTACATGTTACCAAAGTGCTCACATATGAGTGTTTCATATTTATTGAATATTGCAAAATTGGCGATGACATTGCAAAAAAGTGAATTACCTAAAATAATTCCCAGGAAAATATGTATTTGTAAACGAAAACAAATATATAGAAAAAAGGTTTGGTATTAATAAATAAAGTTTACACAATTACGTAATTTTCTTTTAATGTAGCTTTTTTTATATGATGAGATGTAATTTCATCATTATCACATATTGGATACCCAGACAATATTTTGAATTAATGTCAGTGTTTCAGTAACAAACACCGACCATCTCTTATATTTCCTAGCGCAGGCATTGCTGCTTAGAATTCACGGTAAAAAAAGAAGGCTTAAAAGTCTTGATACTAAGCCATTATATAAAAAAAATGCTGCTGTCTACGGGTCGCGTTTATTATCATTTCGCACTTTATCTGTGATGTCATCTGTTGACTATCGCTGTCGAGTGTCGGCTGTCACTGTTTGACATTTGCCCTGTATGTTGATAGCCGAATATTGTGAAGATTGCTTACTTGTTTGCAATTTGCTATTGTACTCTCGTGTGTAGGGCAGAGATGTTATGACGAGTCTTTGTTTCTCAAACATCCGATTTTCAGAGTCGTAAATGTGATCCGAAAATATGATTGATGGCTACACGACGCGATTATATCAACGTTAAATGCATTTTTCCAAAGCATGATCGTGCCACTTGTTAATTCAATAATTAGGTGTCCGTATCTGTTAAGCTGTGAGAATCTCGTGTCAATAATGAGATAGTGTAGTGTCGTGATGTGGTTGTGGAATATATGGGGTGCGCTATGGACCTTGGAGGTTCTGGTCCTTTTCAGAGGAGGTGCCGCGTCACCAATGGATCCTTGGCCACCAATTTCGCGAGGTATGAAGGCCGCCCACACATTTGAAAGCTTGTTTGCATGCACTTTAGCCTTCTAACACTAAACTTAAAACATAATTTTGATTAAATAACCATTTTGATTTATATGTTTTAATGTAATTATGTACACTAATGGCATCTGTCTTGAATATCCAGATTGTAAAACTTTATACAAAACCGATTATCACATGCATATCAGATTGTAAAAGGAATTGTTTTACTGGCAACTCTTTCCTGCATTATGTGCAACTAGTTGTTTGTATAAACTAATGCAAATTTAATATTTAATTAAACAGGTATTCAAAAAAAATATATTTAAAGCTTCTCTTAGTCTTGTTTCTTTATTTAATTTGCAACAAATGTTACAATATTTCTTATATCTTTATGAAATATATGTGAAAATTATTATTAATTGCTTTCTAAATGTTAGAGTAACTTGTAGAGAAATTTCATTTAAAACTTATTGGGCATTCTTTAAAAAGCTTGCTTGATTAAACTTTAAGTGGCTCTGAGTTTATGCCACTGTCTATGTAAATAATTAATAATTTGTGTTTGATCCTTGTAACACTTCCTAAGATTAAAAGATTAAAAAAAAATAACTAGTTAATACCTATATAGTTGTTCCTATGCTGTTTTGACCAATAGAAAGTACCCTTTGTTGCTTAAAAGCTCAAACAATCATTTTAGTTTCATAGTCATTTATTTAAAACTATAGTAATAACTATCTTAGACTTATCATGTCCTCGAATCGGAGCTGTTACCTGCTGAATGAGCTGAATACCGGAGCTGTTTATTACTGCAACAATTTCATAGATTTTTTTGTTTTTTTCACACAAGGTTATATTTAGAATTGTTCTCTTATTTGTTTGTGGAAAATATAATCTTCCACTATTAAGTCTGTAGTTGGTGGATGCCAACTCATTACAAGTAACTAATTTAAGTAAGTCTTCTTGGCTGTTGGTTGACTTTTCAATATCTTAGACTGCTACAATACTAACATTAACTTATACTTTAGGAAAATGTATCCTTTTAAGCATTGATTTGATTTTTCTAGGAAGAATTTGTAAATTTTTAAGATCCAAGTTATTATCAATGTGAGGTACATTGCCTTCACAGTTGCTACATTTTTTAATATTGTATTGAGAAGTAGAGATGTTGTGCGGTCACAATAAATGGTTTGATTTTATTTTTTCTACATTACTTACAATTATTTATATCCTATTTACAATGATATAGTGGTCTGTACACATTTTGGTAAATTGCTTTCACCGGTTTAAAACGCGATACGGTTGCGTGACCACGGTTGGTGAAAAAAATCTGCATGTCGCTTCGTAGTTTAGAGTAATAAATATATTATATGATTTAAACGAAACGAAGTGAAATCTAATAAGACATGTTATTTATTTATTATATTATATCACATATTTATTAGCAATTCCAATTTCTGTTTCGTAATTTTTATTACATTTATGTCAATCAAATATCGTATTTCGACTTACAATATTACTCAGTCTCAGTAGTCAGGCAGATTGAACAAGGATGAATGTAATCTGTATGATACAATTACAGTTTGATGGATAGCGTAGTCCTTACAAGCTCAGCCACAAATCCCTACAAATTGCTGCAAGGAACGATAATCTGACAGCTATCGAAGGTTAAACCCATGTAGGAGGCATCTATCCCGAACGAATTAGTTCCCGCTACGCTCTGGAATGTTCTCATTTTCTTTTAATCGAACATTGGAACCACACTTACCGACACGTTTTTCAATTTGTTAACGGCACTATTTTCTTTTATTCCCTATTATTAGGTTTCTGGCGCGTTTTTGTTCAAGTTTTATTCGCTATTCATGCTAACTACAACATTCAATGAAAGTAGGTAAATTACGGTTAGTTTTAGATAAGGATGCCTGAAAGAGATCACTTAGTGACGTGCTTTTGGAATCCATAGCTATAATTTGTTTGTTATAAATGTATTTGTTTTCTATATAAAAGTTAGTAAATAAAAATAAATTTAGCACTACAACTTGTACATATATATACTGTGTACTTACTCGCATAGCCTGCGCATAAAACGTACATCTCCTATTGGATTCACCGAATACTCACTGAGTAACTTCTTACGTGACTCTTCAGTCACCTAGAGAAGAACCTAGAACCTATCTATTAAGTCGTTTTGAAGGTAAGACCAATGTATAGCACAACGTCACCCGTGGCTTTTAGACGACGTGGTCTGCAATCTCCGGTCTCCGCTATAGCAAAATGTGTGTAGATACCTGTTAGGTGAATACGAAATGGTATATACAGTGAATTGTATTACCATACTCGTTTAAAAATGTCATATTATATTATTGAGTATTTCAGAATGGCTATTCAGGTAGATTCTAGGCATAGGCGTACTTTATCATAGGAGATAAAAACTTTTACCCACCACTCTGTTCTATTGCGGTTTGGAGGGCCGTAACCATTATCGCTACCAAAATTATGGTGACAAACGAGGCAAGAGGGTCGTTACAAAAATTCCAATGATGTAACTAACATTTCGCACAGCGTAGGTTACGAATCCTGGACCACGTATTCTGTAATGACCGCTCGAACAGCCTAGCAGTTGGCATGAAACATTACGTATTTATATTCTCATCACACATTGCATAGGAGGTTATGTTCGCTCCGGATTGCTCTTAATGAATTTTACATAAACATCTCCAAACTTGCACGGAGAGCAGCTCGGATAGTTTGTAAATTAATCTCTTTGATACCTCAACTTTATGAGTGGAGTGGGAATTTGTTGAATACATGTCACGCACAAAGTGCAATGTGATACAGCGCATTTGTAATTTGGACTTAAAGAGACTTAAACACTTATTCATTTCTTTTTTATAATCTTAAAAAAACAAAATCCAAATCTGCAGCGGATTGTAGAAAAAAAAAACAAACAAGAAAACATTCTTCTTTGTTTTTTACTAAATTGGAAACAGACAAAAGCTTTCATTTATACTCTGTATATTCATTTATATTCTATCAAAATAAATTATTTAAGTATAGTCTGTAGTTTACGCGAGTACTATACATAATAATATGAGACTAACGATTTCTAATGCGAAATATTTTTTTTTTTTTTATTTCACCTCCTGTCCATGGCTGCTGTAATCGAAACCTCACCGAACATCGAAAACGTTGGGTTGTAGTAAAAATAGGTTAACTAATATATTTCTATGCTTTTAAAAACGTATTTTTTATGAATTATCAATTGTTTACCATAATTGATCAAAACTTGATATCAAGATCAAACTAACAATACTATAAAATAAATTACTAATCTAAGAATACACCAATAGCAAGTAGTGTCGAGTGCGTCCGGTTAACGGTGTTGTTGCTTGTGGCGCGAGCAGTGATCAACATGGTTGCTAGTTACCGCATCACGAGATTGATAACACGTTACAGCTACGTTGACCGGTCATTTGCATCTGCCCAATTTGGAGGGAACACCTTTTAATTAATTGTTACAGCCAGACACAACGCAGAAATTAAGCACAATACATACTATTTTGGGATAACCGTAAGGAAATTGAGAATATGTTATAGTACTTAATTTAACGTCACAATTACAATAGAGTACGCCATGTTGTATGATAGAAAAATATCGCAAAATTTTTACGCTGTCACCACAGAAAATGTAAAAGTTACGCCATCATTGTTTTGTACACACATAATAATATATTCC